TCCACTGTGCTCAGAGAGCACATAGTAAGAACCTGTAGTTGCCAGGAAAATAACTTTATAAAGAAAAATACATAAACTTGAAAAAACTGAGTGACATCGGGTACTAGCCACATTGAAATGGTTGCCCCAGTGACATAAYCACATAAAATAGGGACTTTTCTTTCCTGATTTACAGTTAACACTCTTCACAATCCTCTCAAACAGAACCAATGCAAAGATGTTACAAAGCCATTTCTGGCTTGTAATGCAATGTCTTGCCATTTCAACTTCAAGTGCAAAGAAAAAATGAAACTATTTCTGAAAAGACAGACATTTTTAATGTATTTTTAGTTAAAAGACACACTTAATCCAGTAGAACTTGAACACTTCTCAGTGCTAATAGCATTTTCAGCTTCTTTTCTTCACAGCACATTTGAAGTGAGCCACTGAGTCTGTACAAAATTTTATCCAGCACATATTTTGTCTCCCATAGCCACACACTGATACATCTGGAACACATCATTGCACCTGCAAAATAGACTACACACATTTCAGTCACTTCCTTTTTATTCCGCAGAGATCTTAAGTTTTCCATTTTTTGCTGTTTGATTTCTCCACATATTTTTGCAGAAAAGACTCAAGTATATAAACAGACATATAACAAAGCCTCAAGTTTTACTGAGGTTAGAGGTCTGAAAGAGACATCGCATCTGGCAGGCCCCCCAAKTGTTTGGGAAAGGCAAGCTCAGGCTGAAAGTTGTATTTTCATTCTTTCCAGTAAGTAGCTCTTACTGGAGCAACTTCTTTATGAATACAACTKTGTTGAGCATACAGTATGAAGCTACAGCTTCTCAAATTTCATCATGTAGCAGCCACTGSTGATTATTCATTCGTTTCTTGGCATGGTACTAATATGTATCTGATTGCAAAAGAACACCATAGTATAAAGTAACCTGAAATATTTAGCTGGAGGAACTCTTTTAAGTTTCAGGCTATCAGAAAAGACAATCTGACCAAGCACCAGCAGCACGACCATAACAATAATTTTTGGGATTGTGGACATTTTGATCAGGCAGTAGGAACTTGATATTTTTTCAAGTTGTAGAGAATCACTGTCAGGAACTATTGCAACTAAATGGCAAACRTATTCTGCTATATTGACTCTTACTGAATCACTCGGGTGGTTCTGCATACAGATTTGGGTCCTGTAAGTCTCTCTGGCATGACCAGAGTTAAAAGCATTRCAGGGTATTAAAAATTTTATCTAGACACAGGAAACCAGATTTCTAAAAGCACTTAAAATTATGTACCCACAGAAAGAAGCAGTAGCCAACCATATGCTTTGAGAGTACTGCTCCTTTTGTTCTCCTTAGAATTCACAACTGAGAAACTTTAAAACCTTGTAGATCATCTCTAAAAATATTACTAACTGTAACTTGGCTATGAAAAGCTACAAAACATTCAGGTACATTTTTTCACAAGATATTCATTTTTCRCTGATATAATTTGACTGTGCTGTATTTTGAGCCACTATGATGATCACTCCCCAAAACCCCACAGAATCCCTGAATTAGATATATATTGTGACTSCTACTTGCTAGGAAAAGGAAAATTCACCCAGAGGTGAGGGGTGGTGGTGTTTTATTTTCCTTTTTTATCGTTGATAGGACAAACAGATGCCCAGTACACCAGACAGACATTTAAGTGGGGTTGGAAGACATTCTGAAACATTGGTCATTCATCTTACTGCACATAATACTACTTTTAAGAGATACTACTTTTAAAAGTAATGTCAATGACTGTCATTTCACTGATTCTGCTTTATAGAAGTGGACTTATCTGTACTCAGAGATTCRTGGTTAGCGAGTTGTGAAACAGCAGCACCTGGAACCACTGTCAGGGCACATTAAAGACATTCCTAAGGTAAATTGACAGAGCCAGCACAGTAAATTCCTAACTAGTGCCAGCTGCTACCTTCAAGGAGAATGTATGCAAGAGTGAGCAAGAACATGTTTGTATCTAGATGGAATCTGCTACCTTCCATACAGACATACCTTTAATGTTTATAAACACTTTGGGTTATACTAAAGGAAACTTTTTTATCACAAAAAGCTATTAACCCACTTCCAGACACAATTTGCTTAAGAAACAGCATAATATTAAATGCTGTGCTCCAGCTGCAGAAGTAAAATGAAGAAGCAGCATGACCTTACTGAAAGCTTTGTCCAATATTTTGAAGGCAAGAGTAAGAATATTTGTAATTTCCCTTAACTTAAAATATTTTGSTTCAGCAGATCACATAGTTTTGCTGTAATATTTCTCAAGTTGTAAAATACCTGCACCTGTCTCAGATAAGTACGAGTGTTCAGCAATTAGAGGGGCAAAATCTAAGATGGACAAAACCAAAAGCACCACTTATAATTACTTTTTTGAGCCTAGAGCTTTTAAAATAGTTTAAAAACTCCCACAGTTTTTTTACTACCTGGTAATGCTCAGCTTTTTAAACAATCAAGAGCTCTACAGCTTTGATTTACAGATCATTCTGTGTTTTCCAACAATTAGTCCTACTATCTCAGCACACAGTCAAAACTCTCGTTGGAAAATGAACTGTCTTATGTAATTAACAAGGGTCATCTTCRCTAAACTTTAAACTTTTGTCCTATACTTCCATTTTTTGGACTTAATTTAAAAYTCCTCTTGGCAGACTTACACATCTATCTCCAGTGCCAGACAAATAAATATAAGCCCTTCCTACAATGTTATCAGTCCTTTCATGACTTGATTGTCAGAGAAAGAACTTCAAAGAACAGAAACTTTACAATAAATGCCGGTGTTACCAAAACAYTGGGAGCTTTGCCACCAGCGTTTGAAGGCATTTCACTCGTGGGCCGTTATCTGATTTCCGACAGAAACCCCACCGGTGTCCCAAGTCCCTCCTCTGCCGCCAACAGCGGTGTCACCGCGCTCCGAGGGTGCCAGCTGACGGRGAAACGCCGCTCGAATCGCCAAGCCAGCAGAAAGCCGGGATCTTGCACAACCCCCAGCGCCGGCCGCTCCCAAGGCAGCCGCCCCCAGCCCCCGCCCAGCGCCGCTCCCGAGGAGAGCCCCGCGGGCAGGGGAGGCACGGGGGAGGCACAGGGGAGACACAGCACCGGCACAGCACCGGCACAGCACCGGCATAGCACCGGCATAGCACCGGCACAGCACCGGCACAGCGCCCTCGGCTCGATCACGGAGCCGCGCCCCGCCCGCCCCGCTCCGCTCCGCGATGCCGGTGGGTGAGGGGAGCGGAGGGTGAGGGGAGCGGAGGGTGAGGGGAGGGGAGCGGAGGGTGGGCGGCAGGACGGGCAGGGCAGGGCAGGGCCTGCGCCCCGCCAGCTGACGGGACTTCTCCTTTGCAGAGCTTCCTCAAGTGGCTGCTGGTGACCCTGGGGATCGCCGCGGGTGTCGTGGCCATCACCCTGCCCCTGGTGCTGCTCACCCGCAGTAAGTGCCGGCGAGGGGAGGGCGGCAGCGGGGAAAGTTCTGCMGAAAGTTTGTGCCTCAGGGAGCGGAGCAGCTGCAGCTCCTGGGTGTTGGAAACTGGGAGCTACGGGCGTCTCACCAAAGAGGATGGGGGGCGCGGGGACAGTTTAAAAGTCGTGATTTTCCTGTACGCGCTKGTAATAATTGTAAGGATTGTCGTTTTCAGCATTTTCTGCTCTTACTGTGGTCAAAGGCTCACAAACCAGCAGTAAAATGTCAATTACTCATTTTTCTAGTCTTTATTGAAGAGATAAGATTGTRTTCCCTCTAATTTGCTTTGTTTGCACAACTTTTGTTAATGCCGTTCAGTGAAATGATATAAACAGCACAGTTACAGAGGTCAGAAAAGTAGAGAAAGATTTGGAATGTGTTTTTGGACTCTGACCAGTTTGCACTTTCCAGGTTGCCCCCGTAGCTCGGGATGTTAATGTGAAACAGCATTAAATCCTCATTAAGCAATGCATTGCTTTCAGCTGGTAGGACGGAGCTGCCCCTTAGTATCCCGTTTTGTGTTCTTATGTCTAACAGCTGTGTCTAACAGCTGAGCAGTCGTGATACCTACAATCAGCATTACAAACTTAAGGGAGTGTTTTCAGGACCAGACCTAGGTCCGAGCGGTGCACCCCGAAAATACTGAAGATGTGTAAGCTGATATTGATGATTTGTTCAGAAATGAACACAGTATTTCTTAGTGCCCACAAAGTTCTGGGGATTTTGTTGTGTCAGTTGAAGAGGTGGAGCTTGTGTCACTAGTGCTCRTGTGGCATAACTTACATTAAACTGTTCTGCAATTCAGCTGTGTTAGTATTCATATCAATATTTCAGTCTTTCAAAACTAGATTTTCAAAGTCCAGATATCTGAGTTACATGCTTCCTAGGCTAAAACTTCCATCAGTGGATGCTGACTCTATTTTCTCTTATTTTTGGGCAGCTTTTTGCCACTTATCTCAAAAGACCGGATTTTTGATGTGACAGAAAATGCTCTGAATTTCACAAGTAGGRAAGAGCTAGAGAAAGGGTCTAATTTATCAGATGGATGTGTGCAGGCATAACACCTAGTGAAAGAATTCAGTGTGCAGGCCTGAATTCTGCTGAAGAGTTGGTACTTGTCTATCTTGATGCCAATGTTATGTCTTACTGTAAATAAAGTGGGTTTTCTTCTTTCATAAATTGTAGCATAGGAATTCTTTTGCTCTAGAAGTGGCTGCAATTCAAGATCAGTCATTCACTTACATAGCAAATTCATTTTACTTCAAAGAAGCATTTCTGTTCTATGATACACAGAATMCCACCATGCTGTCAGCCTTGGCTTGTGTCCTCTTGGTTGTAAAAGAATGGAACAGTGTGTCAGACTTTTTACTGTTGGTTCAAATTAACATGCCCAGGTAGTTCAGTAAATCCCTCTGGGTAAAATAAGGATTGAGATGGAGTTGTCCCAGTTCAAAAACTTGAAATCCTGTCTCTTCAGAAATCAAGCCATCAGTAATATCTGTGATCATTGTAATTTGGGAACTGCAGAGTTCTTTTGAATTTCTGACTGAAGYGTGCTAAACAGATGTCTTCTGTTAGCTGAGAGTGTCCATGTGGTGTACTCATAAAGCAGTAATTTACAGGTTAGAGCCTTTAATCACTGACAGTCTGATTACATGGCTTTTATGAGCAACCTCAGGGCACATGAGTCAGGTGGGGTTGTCTCTTGGGCCTGCAGGTGATTGAGAACAAAATGAAAGGGCCAAAATTGCTTTGGAAAGRAGCTGCTCATGTGGCTGTGACTATATGAAATCAAAGTCTGCTCTGGTAAAAGTCCTTGTAATTGCAGTCCTGTAGTTTTTATTTCATCCCAACAGTTCAAGCATTGTACAGGGAATGAATTTGATGATTATTGAGATAAACAGATAATTCTGAGTTTGAATTTCTTACCTTTGGTCTGCAGCTGTTTTTCCTGCCATGCTTCTTMATGTACTTTCATTTCATAAGCTTAGTAATCATGCAGCACATCATTTGTTTGATAAATAGTTTCCAGTGGTATGAAAGGTTGTGAAGTTTTGCCACTGCAGCAGAGTTGTGGCTTGTTGGCTGTCCTGTAGGCCTGGCAAGGGGAACTTCTGCTTTTTCTGTTGCAGACATTTGGCAGGGACCAACAGTGCAGACTTAAATTTGCAGATTGGTTCATGGTTCCCTAATTTGGGGTGCAGCCCTTCCCCATTTACCTTGAGAGTCTGCTGCCAGAACTCTGTACAAAATTCTATACATTTCATTTAGACCCACTGCCTATTTTGACACATCATTTTATATTTAATAATCAGATGGGGCTACTTGCATCAAACAGTTTAATTTCAAAACAGCCTTGGGGCTTTTATTTGAAGTCTGTTGGTTAAAGCATTGTGCTTTGAGGAGCAATCCAACAGGTGACTACAGTAACAAGTGGTTACCCTGAAAGCATGAATATTTTATAACAAAATGTTGGTCTGTCTGTTCATGATTCACCAGTTTGCTTACACTTCTCACTGTTTTTTTCTTCTATAACATTCCATGCAAAAGGCAGATTGAAACATCCCAATGTCCATATACACCTTTACCACTTCTCTAACTGCAGGTGTTGTTCTGGCTGGGCAGGAAGGCCAGCAGTGGGAGGATGAGCATCCAGTGCTGAGAGCAGGAAGGAGACAGTGCAGTATTTACTATTATTCTGCTGCCRTGAGCAAGTCACAGATAGCTTTGAAGTGAGGTTTGTCTGTCCACAAAACAGGTTTTTTCACCCACATGTGTAACTCTCCAAGGGCAAGATAATCACTAAATGAGAAGGATCATGACCTTCSTGATTAGATGATACTGTGTGTGTGCTTTTGTGGTCTTTTGATAGAAATGTGCTTAGAAGAGGCTGGGAGAGCACAGCAGGTCCTAGGGAAGTTAATGACCTTAAGGTGCCTGAGGGTTTTTTGTGAGTCTGAAAAGACAGAGTGGAAATGTTTTCCTGCTACATGTCCTTGACTTCTGTAACTGTCATTTAACTCAGTTATCTACCCTCATTCAAATGTTGAGTAATATTATATAAAACCCCATTATCAACAGTGAATCTGTAGATACACTTCTGCCGTTCTCACTTCCTTGCTTTGCATGAGATGGGGTAAATTTGAGAGGGATCCCAGAGCTATTGATTACCAAGTTAATGATTAAATCCCTGTGGGGAAGTCTCTGCAGCCCCATGARGTGGCTCTTGGATGACCTGCTCCAGGTCATAGCACTCACTCATTGGTATGGTCTCTCTGGAATGTCCTGTTTCACCTCCTGGGTATTGGATAGAATTCTGGGTGAAGTGAACCTTTGGCCTGACCCAGTAAAGTAGTTTTTGTCTACTTTTTTGCTTAAAACTACTTAAGTGCTCTGTCACAGAGGCAGTAACTGGGGCCTAGAGTGTACAGGAGGGCAGAAGAGCTAGAGTACTCTTATTGTACATGTTGGAAGAGAAACAGGGAAACAGCAGGTTTGGTAAAACTAGCCTGAAATGTCTCTTACTTTTCTGGCCACTGACTCAGACAGGATTCCATTGCATCTCTCCCACTGCTCCTAAATGRCGTGCTTTGACTGCAGATCAGTCTTGCTCTTGTTCTGCTGTCACTTTAAAATGGCATTAACCATTCACCTTTTCTGATTTTTATMATTTCTCTATTCCTTTCTCATTACTGCTGAACATCATGCTTGCACTTGTCTTTCTGTATTTTTGTGTTTTTTTCCTGTCTCTCTCGGTAGTGGTGAACATGCAGTAAAGCTTCCAATATTATTGCTTTTGAAGTTTTCCATGATTTAAAGTCAGTTAATTTCTTGCACTTTTTAAATTTTTAATTACACATGGAAATTAGTGAAATGTGTCCTGACACTGGGGAATAACCAATACATATACCAAAAGTAATTTGTCAACTTGTTTAGGTTTTGGTATGGGGATGTCACACCTTAAACCTTACACAATTGTTAACTTCTTATTAACTTCTATATACCTGTCCTGGTTTGGGCTGGGAATCGGGTAATTTTCTGCTTGGTAGCTGCTACAGTGCTCTGTTTTGGGTTCAGTAGGAGAATAATGTTGATTACACACTGATGTTTTGGTTGTTGCTAAGTAGTGCTTACTCTTAAGCCAGGGACACCAGTTTCCCAAGCTCTGCCAGGTGCACGAGGAGCTGGGAGGGAGCATGGCCAGGACAGCTGACCTGATCTGGCCAAAGGAATATTTCATAACAGAGTGTCATGTTTGTGTCTAAATGGTGAGGTTGGCTGCGAGGTGCCAATTGCTGCCTGAACAGGTTGGGCATTGGACAGTGCGTGGTGAGCATCTCTTGCCTTTCTCAGGTTTTATTCCTCTCACTCTTCTTTTCATTACATGTGTTATTACTATTATTAGGAGTATTGTATTTAGTTTTCTTGCAATCATTAACTCTTCTATCTCAACCTATGAGTTTTTCTGATTTTCCTCCCCATCTCTGCCGAGGGAGAGGGAGGAAGGAAGGGAGTGGCTGAGCGGTACATAGTTGCCAGCTGGAGTTAAACAATGTCAACACCTCACACCTACAGAAACCAACTCAAATTCTCTCTTAAGAGAGGGTGGCATATTAATAGGAAATTCCAAAATTCAAACAGAATTGTTTATCAACTTGGTACTATGACTACTTACATAAAACGTTAAGAGTCTTCTTTGCAGAAGGACTTACTTACGGTTTCACTGTTGTATCAGGGATATTATGMTCTAATTCTTCAGTATATCATGACAGTGGAAATATATGTGTACTGCCAGGAGCAAGACCAGGGTAGAGATGAATCATAGAATCATTAAGATTGGGAAATACCTCCAAGAACATCCAGTCCAACCTTTGATCGAACACCRCTTTATCAATTAAACCATAGCACATCCAGTCATCTCTTGAACATTTACAGGGATGGTAACTCCACCACTTTCTTGGGCACTCCTTTCCAATGCTCAACCACACTTTCAGTGGAAAAATTCTTTCTGATGTCCATCCTGAATCTCCTCTGGCACAGCTTGAGGCTSTTTCCCCTTGTCCAGTCACTATCTGCCTGGGAGAAGAGCCTGACCCCCATCTGCCCACAGCCTCCTCTCAGRTGGTTGTAGAGAGTGATAATGTTCCCCCTGAGCCTACTCCTCTCCAGGCTAAACACCCCCAGCTCCCTCAGCCACTCCTCATAGGACTTGTTCTTCTCTGGACACGCTCCAGATCTGTCTTGAATTGAGGGGCCAGAACTGGATGCAGCACTCAAGGTGTGGCCTCACCTGTGCTGAGTACAGGGGGACAGTCCCTGCCCTGCTCCTGCTGGTGTGGCATCCTGGGCATGCTGTTCCTGATGCAAGCCAGGATGCCAGTGGGGTTCTTGGCCAGCTGGGCACACACTGGCTTACATTCAGCCCAGTGCTGGCCAGCACCCTCGGGTCCTTCACTGCAGGGCCACTCTGCCCCAGCTGGTGGCACTGCCTGGGGCTGTAGGAACCCMAGTGTAGGACCTGGCACTTGCTGAACCTCAGGCAATTGGCTTTGGCCCRTTAATCCAGCCTGTCCTGATCCCTCTGCAGAGCCTTCCTGCTCTCCAGCAGATCAGCACTCCTGCCTGGCTGGGTGTCATCTGTGAACTTAATGAGGATGCTCTCACTCCCCTCATCCAAAGCATCGATAATTAGTAAACAGAACTGGCCCCAATATAAGGCTAGTCATCTGAAATTTAGAAAATTAAGTCTATATGTGGAACTGGTGAGAAAGAAAAACAGCAAGAAAATTTAGCYTTCTTAGCCTGAGGAATCTAAGAGTGAAAGAAGCAGTTTTGATAAAATATGAACATCCAGTGACCTATATACAATCTTCAAGGATAATAAAATGCTCTTGAATGTCAGCGATTACTTTMTTTYGTTACCATAAGCCTGTTTGACTCTTCTTTTCAAATGGAATTTGAAAAAGAAGTACCAAAATTTGGAATTCAGTTCAYGTTGTTTATCTTTGGTCAGTGGCACAATGTGGATAAGTAAGAATGTACCAGTAATGGCCTAGCTTGTAAATTAACAAAATGCTTCAACTAGAACTTCTATGACTACACCCTTACAGCTTGGCGTGTGTTTTCATATTCAAATAATATGTGGAAGGTGTTGACAGAAAATGAAATTTTAATTTTATACATAGCCAACAAATCTTAATAGTGGCCTGATTTTTAGTAATGAGACCTTAGCAAAATATGTATGTCACCAGGGAGAAAAACATTCATCAGTTTGGAAAAATCCCTAAACCTGTTCATCAGCCACCTGTCTTAAATTGCTTCTCYTTTTCCAAGAGAGAGTTTTGTTGCTTTCCGAAGCCCCTCTGATTGAAAATGACACTTTCTCGATTAGGAAGAAGTCATATTCCCAGCTAGACAACTGTGTATGAATATTAAATACCCACTTGYTCATAATCCATCAAATTAAATATTCACTTAAATAAATAACCTGAGAAATTAATATTCTCACAGAAACTCCAAGAGCAATAAATCCAGCCTAGTAATTTTTTTCAAATGGAATTGAGCAAGCTCTTTTTTAAATATTTTCTGAGYATTTTAGACTTAAATCACTGTTTGTTATGTCTCTTGACTTTCATTGCAGCAGTGGTTGTACAGTCTGTGCTGTATTTATGCATTTTTCTTATTGTTTGGAAATAAGAGTAAAGCTGTAATAGCTGATATGTGTTCCTGTGATGTTCCAGATGTCACATGTATCCAGCCTGCAGAAAGATAACCKGCAAAAACTATTGTGAGGTGTTTTCCTGTGTGTGCCCCTAAGGACTTTGCTCTTCTTTTCTTCTTCAGTAAGGAGAGAGGAGGCAGTTGGTTTAAAAGTATCAGAAGCACTGGGGCTCTCAGAATTGGTAGAGGCAGCTTAGCATCTTGGTTGCTCAGCCACCACATCTGTACTTGAGTATTTTTATCAGTTGCTTTTATTCTGATCTTTTGATTAGGCCAGTTGAAATTAAAATTCCCTTCCTTCTGGACCTTGTAGGTAAAAGGATAGATGCAGATAGATGAAGGTAGATTTTAGGTTTCCATTTAGGAAAAAAAAGGCAGGGAGCSTGCAGGGAGAGAGAATTGCACACCTGAATTTAAAATCTGTAGTCTTTGTTTTCAGAGGAAAAAGATCACAAAGGCTCACAGACTGACTTGTTGTTGTTGYTGCTGTTGTTATTTTTCATACTTTGGAAAAACTGGGTTGTGCACTGCAGGCATTAAAGAGGGAATGAACCTGATGACCCTATGCATTAGCTTAACTAGATTCAAAGTTTCACTTGATCTTTTCAGATTAACCTAGTTACTTGGCTTTAATTTTCCAGTCAAAATTGTAATACTAAAATAAACTTGAAGATAASTTGGTTAAAATCACAACAAAATAGGCATAAATATTTATCAATTATTTCATCAGAATCTTATCAGGAAGTGTTTGTTATTTAATTAATTTTTTTATTAGATCTTCCTCCAATATTTTACTGCTCCAGTTTTTTTTTTGTTTTATTTGAGACATTTCTGAAATTTGAATTTAAGGATAAGCAAATAATTCACAATTGTAACTATTAGCAGTTGGGGCCCTCTGCTAAACTTCCCAGAGTTGAGCATGGGGAGAAGGGCAATAAGATCACTTCTATGTAGTTTTTGAGGAGCATATGTGTGCTGAGATAAGRTCTTCTGGTCATTTTTGTCACTGTCAAAAAGGTATTTTCATTTCCATGAGCTTGTTCAGTAATCACACTGACTGTCCTTTATTTTATGCTTGGTGAATTTACCTTGCAATAAAGTTTTATTGCCTTCCCACTGCTACTACTTTAGAGATGGTTAGCTAAAACACTTTAATAACCAGCAACAAAACCCCACTTAGTAGCCAGGTTAAGAAGCAGGGGTGGAACAACGTGCAGCAACATCAAAACCTCTCTTCTTTCTTTCAGAAAATACCCCTTCAGGAAGAACGTAYACTCTACAGAATTACTTGAACAATGACTATAAGTACAAAACACATAATTTGGAGTGGATTTCAGGTAATTAATTTATACATACAGCTTGAATGTTAAGAAAATGTAAACAYGTATCTTCATACTGAGGTGACTACTGTATTCTGAAAAAGTCAAATTATTTAATAGTATGATTATAGAATGGTTCATAGCCCAAAGAGTTGATTCCTTGTTTCCCTAAGGTACATGTTTACTTCATGGCAAGCTGTATCCTCGTACTGCTACAACGGCATACTTACTTCTGTGCTTTTTGGTAGAAATGTGTTATCCTCTGAAGTGTGTCAGCTCCCAGTGCATAGGGCTGCCAGGGAACAGGGAGATACAGGCTGCTTTTCCTTTTGAGTATGCCTGGTGCCCCAAGGGAAAGAGATGCTAAAAGGTGGATGCTGTGATCCCCAGGATCACATTTTGTGAACATTCCTGTGCTATGAGCATCCTTTCATTATAGAACTGGGAAACACAACATTGACCATGTTTTTGAATTTTATTTCCTGCTTAAAAACATAAAGGGAAAAGAGAAGTAACTGCTGAGCATTTTACTTACTTTTTGTTGTCATCTCTCTCATGCATTTAGGAAATCAGTATCTTCACAAAACAGATAATGGGGACATCGTACGTATCAATGCTGACGATGGGACACCCTCAGTGATCCTGGCAAATACAACACTAGTATGTTGTCTTATATGCAATATATGCAGACATTGGGAAAGGTATTGAACGTTGCATTTTGTTCTGCCTAGTCTTTGGAATCAGTGCTTAATGTGTTTCTTTTGCCCTTCCTTTGTTGACAGGCTAAGTACCAGGCSAGCACAGTTTTATTGTCTCCTGACCAAAAGTTTGCTCTTCTGCAATACAGCTATACAAAGGTACAAATGCACTTTACATCTCAGGATGAAACTGGGAAATAAAGGTTTGGGAACTGCTGAGAGGCTGAAAGAATGCGAGGAGAATACATGAGGGTGGATGAATATGATGGATGTCTGTGAGGGAACAGTTGAGCAGACAGGAGAAGAGACTGGTATTGTCTGTGAGCTTGGCAGAAGAGACTTGACCACCTGAGGGAAAAAAGCATCTGGATTAAAAGGGGATAGAGAGTTACCACAAGGAGAACAAGGCTGGATGGTTTATCTGGGAAGACATTCTAGGAGAGTAGATAGGCGTGGTTGTACCCAGGAGTAAGGAGAAKTGGGTAAGGAGAAGTGATGAGTAGATATGCTGGTATACATCTGCTTGTGTGTGTRTGCTATATATATGTGTGTTGTTACGTTGTGGTGGTAGGAGGTGACAGTTTAAAACTGAGGTGACTGAAAAGCTGCATGTGCTTAAAAGAATGCTTGTGTTTGGAGTGGGCTAGCACATGAAAAGCCTGCAGCAGAATGCCTCATCCTGGCATGGTGCTGAGCTGTGCAACAAAGGTCAACCCACATTTATGCCATGTGGCCTGAAAACCTGGCTCTGTGTGCCAATTGAGAAGCCTGATGGAGGTACTCATTTTCTGTGSAGTTTGTGCACTGAGATGTTGTTTTTTCCTTTTTTTTCTAGAGAGCTGCCTGTTTTGTTCGTAAAAAGTTCAGTGCTGACTTGTGCAGTGTAAAATACTTGAGCACTGTGTCACTGAGTGAGCATTGTCTACATGTCCTGGCCTGGCAGTCCCAAAATGGCTCTTGCACTGTGCCAGACAGTCTGTGCACTCAGTCATCAATTTTTTTTTTCAGTTTTAGCTTCCTTGCTGGGTCCTACTAAGCCAGTTACTTTTTGTCTTTCTGAATTTTTCAGAATTATTTGACTTTTCACTGCATCATTAGTGGCCACAAAATGCCTAATATTTTACCAGCCACCCTACACATCCCCACATTGCACTTGTAATTTATTGCTCTGTAGTACTTTATTTGTTGCATTCATAAGAGTTAATTTTACTTTAATGCTGAAGCAAGAGTTTTTAACCTTTATATAATAGTATGATTGAAAGATCTGTTTTTATTAATCTTTATTGCAAAGAAACAGAGTAACAAAATGAATCATGAGGATGTAGACGCTTGTTATGTAATAGCCATCTGGCTGTGGAGTGCTAAGTTGTTGGTTTATATCTTCATACAAATATACAAGAGCCCTCTTAGAAGGGCTACATGTCAGCAGTGTGGGCTAAATCAAACCTCTCCAGCCCCACGTGGTGAACATGTTTAAATGTGTCTGCATTATCATCATCATCATCATCATCTTTCTCTCTGTTAAGAGCCCACAGAGCGATACAGATTTCTCGGAGAAGGGCTTTATTTCTGTAACAATATGACCAGGAATAGGTCACCCTGGTACTGGAGGGATGCTGCAGACATAGTGCTGGCATTTGTGAGAACTACTGTAAAATAAGATGAGGAGGGTYTCAGTGGTAATTCAAACTGCAAGAGATATGAAACCTAGTGAAATTTATTTTCTTAATATTAAAATAATTCTTTTGCAGTTGTGGAGGCATTCCTTTACAGCTTCATATCACATCTATAATTTCAGTAGCAGGTCAGTAATTCTTGCACTTAAGATGTAGTTTTAATATTCCTTTGCAATGAAATGTCAGTTCACTGATTTCTCTTGGCTGCATTTTGTTTTTGTTTTCCCAGTTCTATCTTAGATGATGGACTACTACCTAATGATACACAGTATATATCCTGGTCACCTGTTGGTCATAAACTGGTAGGTAAAGATAAATAAAACTTATATCAACAGTAATTTTCATACACGTGACATGGAAACTCACGTTGTCTGTTCMCTTGAGGTTTTGGGACTTTTCCTACTGCTGGGTAAAGTGGCTGAACTAGTTTCAAATTTGACTACTGTTGCTGGAAAGACTCCAAGTCCCTCTCTGTGTTTTGTTTTGTTCTTTAATGAAAATGCATTCCTGAAAGTAAGTAGTGGCCCCAGTAGTCATGAAATGCTCAAATGCACAGGAACTTGGTGTTTTCACAGTTGCAGACAGTAGCTCATCCCTTTCAAACACAGCAGCATTACAATTGTCTATTTAATCATCACTGTGATTTTTATCTCCTAATTACACAATAATCAATGAAGTTTCACTTGATGGATGCATGTAAYAGGATTAGAGGATTAAAAATCTGTCTTATGCTCTTTCCCACCGCTGTTTTCTTCCKGCCCTCGCCTCCAATCCACGCCAGTGGATGGCAACCACTGCATTTGCAAGGCTTGTGCATTCCCTGTGCTGAGTGTAGGACTGTCACAGGAGAATGTCGTGTTTATTTATTCCTACTGCTTGTAGTATGTGAATTATAAGGACCAACCAAAGAAGCAAAGGAAGTCAAAAAGAGCTTTCTGCATCTCGGAGCAAAGCTCTGGAATAAAACTGTGTTGTTTAGTTATTGGGGATGAAAACCAGGGGTGATCAGAGAGGCAGACAGGTGCCAAAAACAAGAGTTCTGAGTACTACTGAAGAAATGTGCCATCTTTGCAGATCTGTTGGCAGCACTGAGACCCCAGTGAATGTTTTACCAAAGTACTGATAGTTTTCTTTGAAAAACAAATTAGTGGAAAACAACTCCTGATGAAGGAAAATAAACTTGTGTTTGGCAGAAAATTATTTGTAAGATTTTCAAAAATTGATGCCACATCATAGTTGATTTGCTTTTTGCATCTAGGCCTGAAGTTACGGTGCTACCCCTGATTTGCATTAGCAATTCCACGTTTGTTAAGTATCAATGCATTTAATGAAATGCAGCTTTTAAAGATGGTGTTCCTCATCTGTTGTAAATTGTCCAGTAGATGAAATAAATAAAGGAAGTAGAATTTACTGCAATAGTAATTTTCATTACAATAATTTTTTGCAGGCATACGTTTGGAATAATAATGTTTATGTAAAAGATTCACCAACAGCACCACCTGTGCAAATCACTCAAAATGGAGAAGAAAATAAAATTTTCAATGGAATACCAGATTGGGTTTATGAAGGTAACTATGTCAAGCAAGTTTTACTTTACATTATGATATTAAATCTTTGGTTTATTGTAATTATTACCTTATTCCTTACCATTGAAAAATTGAAATTAATCAAAGTCTGTATTTTAAAAGAAAAATGCATCATTATCTGRGCTTAATACCTGGCTAGTGTGCAGATCTAAGAATGGAAATTAATTTACTGAATGGAAATTAATTTACTTATCTTGCATTGTGTCATTGGGAATCTTAACTGTGAATTAACTTCATATGATAGRTTATAAACACGATCTAATGTCTCCTTTTAGAACCCCAGCAAACAGTCTGCAGTTTAGTATGTGAACTTCAATTTAAAAAAAWAAWCCTATTAAAAACTAATGAGGACAGCACCTAGGATAGAAGAGCCAGCTTATCAATTATAACTTAAATACATTTACATCTCTTTCAGAGGAAATGTTTGGCACTCATTCTGCTCTGTGGTGGTCTCCAAATGGCAATTTTTTGGCATATGCAGCCTTTGATGATACAAAAGTTCCTGTTATAGAGTATTCCTTTTATTCTGAGGACACCTTGCAGTATCCAAAGACCATTAAAATCCCATATCCCAAGGTCTGTGTTATTTATTAAACATGTTTGTTCTGTAGTTTCATTAAGAGAGTAGTCTCATTTAATCAGCTCCTGCTAATGAAAATATTGTCTGTCTCTCCTCAACAGCTTGCTGTGATTACTCTTTCTGAAGTCAACAGCATCTGGCAATGTTAAAGTGTTTTATTATCTCAGGGGAAAGAAAAAAAGAGGAAAAAAAAAAAGTATGACTTAAGGTTTTGTTGTTTCACCATAAAATTTGGAGGTAGTGATTAGATGTTGAGGTAAAAAACCTATCAGGGAGCTAAATTGGTACAAAGCATTAGGCCGATACACGTTATGTTAGGGTYGTGCATGGTATTGATAATGGAATCTTCTTCAACCAATCTGGCAATTTCAGTACTAAGAGCAAGAGGAGGAATCTGCTGAAGGAGTTTCTTTGCCAGCCATCAGTCTCTTCTTCCTAAAGCTCTTCCAGTTTTAGCTGTAGGAGTGAAACCTTGAGTGCAAGCAGCTCCTTCTCTTCTCCCTCCTCTCCATGTGACTTTATGGCCACTGCCTGTGGCACAGATGGCACTGGGAATGGGGTGAGAGTGTGCAAAGTGCTCTGACAGGTTCCTTCATGGGCTCCACTTGTGGAGAGTTTCATGTTTAATACAAGACCTTCCTGTGTGAAGTTACTTGACCTTATACAGGATTTGGATTTATCTGAGCAATGCACTTTTACAAATTACACAGTTGCCCTACCCTGCTGAGTGTCACTACAAACATGTTCTCATAGCTGGTYTCCATCATATGCTCACCATCACAATGCTGGGCATCCCCATTGCTGGGAAGGAATAGGTGGRTTGAAATCATCTCAAGGCATCTCTTCTTTTTGTTTATCCTTGTGTTTTTTATATTCTGTGTTGGTTTAAGGCATCAGTGTATGTCCCCCCTGCCCCGCCCCAATCCATGATGGTCTGGCCGTGCCAGGAAGATACTTTCACTCTTGATTAACCGGGGCAGGATGGCTGATGCAGCCGGCTGATTGCTTATCTGGTACTGCTGCCTGGTGGAAAAACTGCCTGCTTTGTGTCAAGCTCATTTTCTCTGCAGTAGCATTAYGTTAGAGAGAGCAGAGTCCGTGCTGCAGTCACAGCTTTGATTGTGGTACAGGCAGCTGTGACATGATCGGTTAATGTGAGCTGCTTCTTCCATGGACAGGCACTTTCCTGTGTGCTAGCAATGGATTTGTTTCTCTGCTAGGTACCATGTGTGGTGTGTGGGATGAGATATGGTCCAGTACAGCAAGCCCTATGGTTGTTTCTAAATGTAGAAGTCTCTTATCTAGAAATGCGTAGCACTTTTGTGTGAAAAATACAAAGGATAATTTATGTATCAATCTTAAAAACAACATTCAGAGACTTGTCTTTTCACATGTTTGCAGTTGCCTGGTTTTACCTTTCTGTCTGTAGTAACTTATTCATCTGTAATTTCAAACACTTATTTCACCACAAATATTCTCTCTTCAAAAGTACAATGAAAAATTTTATTTTTAGGCAGGAGCTACAAATCCAACTGTGCGATTCTTTATTGTGGATACCAGATCGCTTCAAGTTGTCAACCCTGTTGAAATTTCTCCACCTGAAGAAATAAAATCAAGGTGAGAAATTTTGGTTAAATATTTGATTGTTTGATGGGRGAGGAGGAGCTTTTATATGTGACTTCCCTATAGTCAGTGTATATGGCAGTTTTTCCCTGTGATGTGGTTCTGGTAGCAACAAGATTTACCAGAGAAAATCTGCACAGAGATTATCCTCCTAGTGATTATATATAGATGGCATATTCCATGTATGTTATATTCAGAATGTGACAAGTTCTTGGCTCATCACATTCAGTGGAGTCTAACTATGGTGAAGTCATTTCACAGTACAACTTTAATATGAGCAAGTTTTCGTATAATCAAATTATAATATATGTATTCCAATTCACTGGGGGAAAAAAAMCAACAAAACAAAACCTTAATGGTAAGTGAAGATTTGATTTCGTTGGAAGCAGACTCCTTGCTACAGCAAGGTATCATGGTTGTCTTCAGATTTATACTTAAAATGTTTGTTTTCTTTGGGAAGATGGTGAAAATCAGCACCTCTCAGAGTAAATGGAAAATTGTATTTCTCAAAATGCCACTGGAAATGCACAACATGATATAAATGTATTTTGTAAAGAGCAGCTACATCAATTTAAAGTGCATGCACACAATTCAGTATCCCAGATCTTGGGTTTTGTTTTTTTTYCTTCTTAACACTATTGTGGAAATGTTTTAGAGGTTTGCTCTTAGAAACATGATGGGTATGAAAGCACAGGTTTACTGATAAACCAGAAAAAAAAAMCAAAGGGTTGTTAGCTTGTGCATAAAACCAGCATTTTATACGTGGGGGCCAAAAAGCTATAACTGAGAAATCAGTGCTCTTCCRTTTCAGTCCTCAGCACAGTGTAACATCCATGTGTTAGCAGAGATGCAGCTCTCATGAATATGTTGTTCTTTATCCTTCCGTTACCGTCACACTKCACTGGATACATCTTAGAGAGCTGTCGTGCCATGTTTTCCCCAGAATTTCAGTGCCTCAGAATTAAAAGCCCTGTACATTTTGCTCAGTACTGATTAGGATCTCTGCTGTCTTAGTTATGTTTTACCTTTTGTTAACACCTTACAGAAGTTGATGAGAATAATCATCAGCTACCTTCAGCTTCATACCCATCTGGYTAACAGAGGCGTGAGGTATATGGAGTTCATCCATTTTTGAATTAATTTAACACTCTGTTAATGAGGATTAATACAAAGATAAATCTTGACTCATGAGTTCAAGCATCAAAACTCACTTCTCCCTATGGCTCATCCAAATAATGGTCAAATCTCACCATACATGTCCTGCAAAAGTTGAGGTGGCCAGACCAAGTCTAGGGGAATTTTGCAAGAGCAAAGGTACATGAATAGGAAAAGGTGAGCAATGTGCTGTGTAGCTGTTGGGTCATTTTTCTTCTGGAAGCACAAAGTATTGAATATTTATATGGTGCTTATACCACTGACGGAAAGGTTAGCTTTTGTGGTGGAAAATTCTGGTTTTGCTTCCATGGACCTAAATTTTGAACAAAAGAAAGTTGGAACTGGTGGCATACCTCACTCTACCTGCCTGGTTGGGGTTGTCAGATGGCTGCCTGTTACAGCTCTTTCCAGAGCTTGCATGAGCAGCAGTTGTACCCCCACATTTGAAGGGGGCACAGTGCACTTATGTTGCAAAGGAAGAGTTTTATTTGTCAAAAAGAACTGCAGATCAAAAGGATCTGCAGTGGCAGTGCTTTGCCGTGTGATGGTACTTGAAGCCTGATACACCTTGCAGGAATGACCAGCATGAAATCCATCCAGCATTTAAACACTGGTTTGGGCACCATGGGTATGCGGGCTCCTGTTAGCCAATAGCAGGATGAAARGGATAGATCTTCCTTGTCTGAAATTATCTGTCCTAAAATAAGAAGACTTCTGAACAGAGTTATTGCAGCGTATGACTCTCAGCAACCAATGAGGAAGGGCAGTGTAAAACTGCTGTACTTTATACTTGAGTTAATTGCAGCCTCGTTAACCTTTTGTGTGCTGTTGAATACTGAAGGTGCATTCCCACTCTCACAGGGGAGAGATATTTATTAAAATACCTTGATAAATAATTTTTTGGTTTATTTTCATTGTAGCGTCCATCTTGTCTGATAGATGATTGATAGCCACCAGAATTGTTAAATGTCTTTCACATTAAAGGAATAAAAACTGTGAGACTAATTCTCCTTATAAAAAACAAGGGAAATCTCTGTAATAGGTTTTCCATTTTCTTTTTTTTTTTTCCAAACAAGCTCCTGCAGACTCAATGGCAGTAGAAATTAAATGACCTGCTGCCTTCCCAGTCAAATATAAATGCAAAAATAGACCTTTTCCAAACATGATTTTGAAACTGTAATCTAGAWATAAATCTAAAGGTTTTTGGTAACCAGCTGACATGTATTTTTTAATCCATCCACACTAATTGTAGTGTTTCCCTCCCCAAACCRCAGTGATCACAAAGATACTCTTATCACAAAATTTCCCACACRTTTTTGTTAACTAACTTTGGGGGAAAAGGGAACATGAACTTGGAACTAAGTCAAATGTGCAAATTACAGTTAAAAATGTATACTTGCCTTGGAGGGGAAGTTTGTTTTATTTTAGTTCATAAGGCTTCGAGGAGATAGGAGAGATCTAAAATAAGAAAAGACAGCACATCCAACAGATCGTTATGGTAAACAAAGCCACTAAATTTTATGTGGTGCCTTTTTAAAATTAATATACAGGAAATTTTCATATTCATGAAAATGATTTTTTTTTTCACATACTCCATTCTTCCTGTCAGCTGGGTGGTATTCTGAAGATGAAAGTAAAATATTCAAATAGTAATATCTGGTTTTGGTATGATCTCTCCCTCCATTTTAATTAATGGAAATAACTATTAAATTGARCAAAAGAATATGTCACTCAGAAAATTATTACAAGCAACTAACTTCAGGCAGCTAAGGATAAAATTCCTAAATCTAAGGCACATACAACTTAATATTCAGAAGAATTTCTCCTAGATGTACACAGTACAAAATTTATGAACAGTCTGGAGTAGCTATTATTTTATGCATTGGAGAATAGCTGTTAAAATTTAATTGCAGTCTTTCTGGAAGTGGGTTTGTACAAGCCATCTAATTCTTTATTGTATCTCTGAAAATAACCAAGGCATCTACTAGCAGCAAAAACAATTGATGAAAAATGACTCAATTACATTTGCATCATTGTTTATTGTTGAAGAGTAGATTGAAATGAAAATAGCCAGATGAGCCTCATTCAGTGAATTGCTGAATGCTATTGTATAGTATGCTATTACTGAGAGGATTTTAAATATCTCACGCTGTTTATGTTTTCAGGGATCATTATTTGAGTGTTGTAACATGGGTGACAGATGAAAGGATTTGTCTGCAGTGGCTCAGAAGAATTCAGAATTTTTCAGTCCTTGCARTCTGTGACTTTGCAAATGCTGCTTGGTCATGTCCAAAGGTAAGAAAAATTAGGTGGAACAGTTGCAGTGGTAAATGAAACTAGAAAGGAGTAGAGTATATCTGTATGTTTATCTTTGTAGAAATATAGCCTGGTATAAACTAAGCATAATTGTTGTGGGATTGTTTGTTTTTTTTTTTCTTAGGAAAAACAACTTACAGAAGAAAGTCCAACTGGCTGGATTGGCAGAGTAAGTGTTCAATTTCTGAAACTGCTACATGCTAAATAATTCTGATCATTATGAAAATTTCATATGAACATTTTGCAGTGCCTTTTGTGTGTAGGTCCAAGTGTCTTGCTGCATTTCACATGTGCAGGAGAAAATTATCTCARATGGAGCTGCTGTGTCACCCCACACCTGTGGTTAAGCTTTGTTTTTTTTGTGGGTAATGGGTTGGTTCTGAACTCCCAGGCTGGGCTGACATTGCAGCATGGCTGGGGCTCTAATCATGCTCTCTGTGACCTGTGCATCTGGGTGACAGGACAAGAGGTAGTGGCTTTCCATTGAAAGAGTGGGTCAAATGAGATATTAGGAAGGAATTCTTTACTGTGATTGTGGGGAGGCACTGGAACAGGCTGCCCAGAGAAGCTGTGGATGCCCCATCCCTGGAAATGTTCAAGGCCAGGTTTGCCAGGACTTTGAGCATCTTGGTCCAGTGAAAGCTGTCCTTGCCCATGGCAGGGGGATTGGACCATCCCACACCATTCTACGTCTCCATGATTTTGTGTTCAGCTTACCAAAAGCATAGCACCCTTTCCAAACTCCTTTCTACTTCTGTCCTGCTGCTTTGTTAGCTGTAGGTATCGGGGAAATGCATGAGCCCAGATTCACAATTCTCTTTGTTCTGGGGAGTTGCCAGCTATACTGGCTTACCTGCTTTCTTCCTGACACCTCCAGAAAGATCTAGGGAATAAAACTTATTAAGAAGTGTATTCTGTGACCTTCGAATCAATTGGAAGAAAGGCAYAGGGGACAAAAGTAATTTTTAGTCTATCAGGTTGCAACAAAATATTCCAGGTTTTAGCGGGGGCTACTTATTTAGTTTTCCCCCCACATGACATACCCATTGAGGAAAAATGTGGACAAGATGCGTGTAACTGGCCAGACTAAAATTTTCATGCACTTCTGCCAAACCAGCCGCTACTGTCTGGGTGATGCTTTCCAAGCTGCCTCTCAGTCCTTTCGTACGTGGTAGAGAGTAGGCACCTAATGAACTACACAGAAGATCTGGGGGAAGTGAAGCAGAGATGCAAAAGTTCAGATTTGGAGGGAGAAATGAGTTTCAGAGTTTTTGATGAGAACACAGAGTACACTTTCCACTCCCGCATTTTCCACACACTGATTATGCTTTAGTCACTAATTCACTTTTGAAGTCAAAAATGAAAGTTTAAAGAAATGCAAAGAGGGAGGCAACAGCAGGGATGAAATCATCCGCAGTATGAAGATGAGAGATCAACCCACCTGCTGTCAAATTTGATATGGAAAGGAAGGCCTTAACGCTGACACATTTTGCTTCTCTGCAGCAAAGGCTTCACAATTAGACAATGTGATGATCAAGCTGCAGACTTTGTAAACAGTTGTGCAAAATGAGAGGGCAAAATGCAAGTCTGTGCCACTAAACTAGGTTGTTGGTTTTTTGTTTCTTTTAAAGAGACAACCCACTTCTTAGGAGCTGTTGGAAGAAATGATAATCTCACTGTGTGATTCTTGGATTTGAGAAGGGAATGGAGAGTAGGGAGGATTGAAGAGGGGATAGGAAAGGTATATTTGTTCTGTTTTTTTTTTATTTTTACCTATTTAGGGATGATAAATTGATATTTCACTGATAAGGAATATTTKTATACAATAGTGAGATGTAGGTATGCACATATATATGTAGAGACAAATTTAAGTAAATTATATATGTGTGTAAAATACAGACATACAGCCCTCTCTTTGTATCTATAATCTTTTTCATGGGTTGGGGGGGTGGTTTTGTTATTTTTTTTTGTTGGTAGTTTTGGGGGTTTTTTTGGTTGGTTTTTTTTTTTTTTTTTTTAGTAGAGATGAAATTATAGTTAAACTAAGAATGCTGAAAAAGCCTGTATTACTGTATGAGGCTTCCAGGTCATCAGCTGTTAGAGCTTGCCAGTTGAGTTGAAGGAAAGTCGCACTTTGAAAAAGCAATACTGTAATAAGGAAAAAGCTAGCAAAATATTTGCCAGGTTACTTTTTGCAAAAATACTGCTTGGGAAGAAGGAAAGGTTATTTGGAGCACATGGTTAGGAAGACTTAATTTCTGTCATTGCTTTCTGAATGACCGGAGGCAAATCACTTCAGCTTTGTTTCACCATTTCAAAATGGGTATAACGTCTCCGAGGCAGTTGCATTGTGTCAGTTGCCTAATTAGCATTTAAATCCTTTGGGCATTTATCACAGAAATAAGTTTATTTCTTCATTCCTCTCTTTTTTTCCACCATATGTAGCACATTCAAATGGCAGTCAACAGAAGAAATTGATTCATTTCCATCACTCTCAGTTGATAAATGGGTAGTTCCTTCATGAAAATATTATTCCAGTTTGAGTTCCCTGACATTCTGTAATCACCTACTTGCTAGCAAAATTTCCTCTTGGAAAGCAGCTTGAATTTTTAAATAGAGAAGGACATTTTTCACTGTTAAGCTAAAAAAAAATGAGTTCAAATAATTTGTTCACAAATATGTGTTTTAAAATGGGAAATTCAAGAAAAACATGAATTTGCAAAGTTTACATTTTTAAAGGTTACAGCTGCATAGGACAGGATACAAGAGTGCCTTTGAAAGTAGATGCACATATTGTTTCCTAAAGCTGTAGAAAATTAAGAACACTGGAAATACTTCAAATATTTGAAGGGGTGAAGGGGGCTGGGTATGGATTGCTGCTGGGACTAATGCTCGGGAAATTCTGCTACTTAAGGAGCAGGAAAATATTTCAAGCGTGTTTATTTTTAAAGGGCGGGCTACAGGTTCTACCTACTAAGTCAGAAGGCAAAAAATGTTTGCGGTGCATTCATTGATGCCTTGTTTCAAGCACTGAGACTCCTGGTTAGAGATATTAAACCCTAAATGTATTGCTTTGGATCTGGAGTTTTGGTTTTTTCGCTTTAGTAGACGTCTCTCTTATGCTCAAGTTTCAGCCATCTGTCCCTCGCTTTGCACCCGACAATGTCACCTACTACAAAGTGTTCAGCGACACAGCGGGTTACAAGCACATCCATTCCATAAAGGGCTCCCAGGTGAGGCGTGTCCCATAGGACAGTCACTGCTGCCTTGTGTTTCTCCTGGTGCTCAAAGAGMTTCACCTTATACTTTTTGCCTTGCCTCTTCCTTTGCTCCAGGCTCCAGTAGCTATTACTTCAGGAAAATGGGAAGTCATCAGCATAGAAGCTGTAACCAATAAATTTTTGTAAGTATTTGTAAATAAGGTACCGCTTCCTATCGAAAGGGCTGGTAACAAGCAGGGAGAGAGAACTGGGAGAAGGTGTCATTTAACTCATTAAAAATCTGACTTAAACATTTCAGATTCTATTTTCTAATACTGTACTGTAAATATTTTACTAAAACCRGTATGTTTTGCTTTTATAGATACTACATTAGTAATGAAAATGGTGGAATGCCAGGAGGAAGAAATCTTTATAAGTAAGAATTTTTTTTTTTCCAGCAGTATGGGTAAAATTGTTGTTAATGAAAAAGAAACCGTAAGAAAAARCATTGAAAACTTAAAGATTAGGGTGTTCAGCCTAATGTGGGATCTTCTTCAGGATATTTAATGAAAATCAGTGTAAGAGCATAAACTGCAAAAATAACTGAAATATTTTKCTATAAATTTAGTTAATAAAGGGAAATTGTGACAAGAACCAATCCTCAAGCAACAAACCCCTGAAAAAAACCCTCATGCTTTTTTTTTACATGATTATAATTCCAGTATTCATTGAAGTAAAAAGTTTAAAGTATGTTTTCTCTAGTTTTTGAATCARTTTCTATCACTTCTGAATTTTAACATATTCAGCCATCTTATTTAAAAAGCATATATTGGTTTAGCGTTGCTTAGGAAAAAAAAAAAAGTAATCTCTGAGATGAAGCTCATTTACTTTGCAGAGTGCTCTTGGAAAGCAGTCCAAATTTTACTAAATGTGTTAGCTGTGATCTGGATCAAAAAAGATGCCAGTATTATTCTGTGTCCTTCAGCAAAGATGCAGAGTATTATCAGCTAAATTGTCTCGGTGAGTATATCCAGAATTAATTGACATAAACATGACTCACTGATTAGTTGGGTGGTGAAGTTCACTTCGTCAGGATCTTGATATGTACCGTGTAACAATGATATGTGTTGATAACATTGGATAAATTTATTGGCAGTGGAAAAACATACTGCYTCCTAGGCTCAAAAGTACCTTGACAAAAATTGCTGGGATAAAACTTGTTAATTCTATCTGTCAGTGGACCTGAAAGAGCTGCAAAACACTCCTGTCCACTGTGCATCTCCTCGAGGGATGCATGGGKAGCTCTGCCTTGCAGAAGGAATGTGGAGGCTCTGAAAGTGTGACAAGCAACAGACTGAGTAAAGAGCAGTGCTTTATGGATGAGAATAAAATTAAGATAGATGGTGATGGTCATGACAAAAATCCAAGTAATGTAACCATAATGTAAGCAGTGGGACTGCAGCCTGTCTGACCTGTGAGTGCTCCTGCTAGACAGCACAAGGGTTAAATTAATCAAAGGGTGGGAAAAATCAAAGCGTCTCCAAAATTTCTTTGAATTGAAATGTATGGTTTTTAACATGCCGAGATCTTGCTTGATCTGTGGGGTAGAAGGACAGAYGGCAGAGAGGGAATTTTCTGTTAGACTGTGAAAATGGTTGAACACAACTGCTGTGGTCTCTGTGGCGAGGCTTCCTGATGGCCAAACCGTGTCGACAACCAGGGCATAGACTTTGCTGAAGAGTGCAAATTCAGTTCTTCAGTATCTCACAGTCATGTGGTTCATCCCTGAGACAGACTGAACATTTTGTGGGATCCTGGGGCTTGAATTTGGGCCCTGCTAAATTAAAATTCAGCTTCAGCAGACTGGAGGGAAATGAGTTCTGAGCTTTTATGATTCACCCGTTTCGAATTACTTTACTGTGTTTCAAGCCAGCATGCAAACRTGAAGGTTTTGTGCCCTGTTTACAGGTCCTGGCCTGCCCATGTCTACTCTGCACAGAAGCACTGATGATCAAGGTATGGGATTGTCTTTAATTTATGTTGAGCTAGAAAATTGCATTGTAAGGTTATTCTAATTTTGTTCCCATTGCATGTAATGAAAATGTCCGTTTTAAAGGGTAAATTTAATTTCAAATAATTACCAGAAGAATAAATTGTATGGCTTGGCATATGTTTATTCATTGTTTATTTCATAKTATTTTACACTGGGCTAGAAAACAGTAAGTAATGGATGACTTATTTACTGGATAATTGTTCAGTTTCTCTGAAACTTCATTTAGATGAAAAACAGGGAATAAAACAGCTGAAGGAAAACTATATAGTAAACACTGAATCTAAGAGGAAAAACAAAAATTGCAGTGTAAGTTGCTATCATCTCAGGTTTAATATTTGAAGTAGTTGATAATTAAAGAGCAGTGCATTGAAAAAAAAGTCTTTAGTCTTTGAATCTTACTTACTCTGTTATTTAGTCCTCAGATACTTGGAAAATAACACTGAATTGGACAATGCTTTGAAAGATATTCAGATGCCTTCAAAAGAATTTGGCACCCTTAGTATAGGTGGATACAGTAAGTTAAAAAATGTTTTTTACCTTTTCCTCCCTCCCCCTCGCTCTSCCCCTGGCTTTTTCACCAAGTGATTCAAGGTCTTCTGCTGAGGAGCATGACAGGATAAATGGGTGTAATGGGAACTACTGCAGTTACTCAGAACTTAGAGGCAAGATGATTTTTTTTCGGACGATTCCAAACATTCTGGTTTTTTTTCTGCAATATTCCCAATATGTTCCTATCTAAAATACACTTTTTCCTAGTGTGATATCATCATGTTTTCACGATGAAGTGGCTTAACTCCTTTTTTTCTTTGTAATAAAATGACAAACAGAAGTCTCTAACAACGCAATAAATAAATAAGAGAAATGAGGTTGGGGCAMAAAGCTCTTACCCATTGTTAAATTTAAATTACATTAAAAATTCAAGTAGGTCTTTCTGATTTACAGGTGCAAGTCCCTTTGGTTTGTGTTAGTGGGTTGGAAAAGCAGAGAAGTTCAGCTACTATGAAAAAGCAGGCACAATCTAAAGGGAAAATGTTGAGAAAGCATTTAAGCAACGTTTCAACACTATCACCTTTGACATTGTGTGGGGGAATATTTGGATTAAGTAGTCATCCTTGAAAGCACAATTATGCTCTGAGACTGCATAAACGTCCRTATAGACCAGAACAAAATGCTAGAAAATGATCAGTTAATGCTTTGTGAGTGCTGCTCCTCAGAATTTGGGTAGAGAAATGTTCTTGGTGTGCTCTTAGGCTGAGCAACAGCAGAGAGCTCAGCCCTGGTACCTGTCTGAACTGTTCTTGCTCCAGCCTTTGCTCCTAGCTTTTCTCTTCATGACATACTTCCTCCTGATAAAATGTGCAGATGTTCTTAATAGAATTACATTTTACAAACGGTATTGAGTTTGGTCAGTTATTGCTGTTCTTCTTGATGCCTCCCTTCTTTCACTGTTACCTTATTTATATAATAACTGTCTTTATCTTTGTGTTTTCTGTCTTTTATTTCTGTCACATTTTTACTAGGGCTAAAGATGAAATCTTCCAGGCAACAAGGAGATTTAAAGATGTTCTTCATGCTATCAGTTGTATATTCATTTTTTTAATTTCCTCTTTGTTCTTACTACTTCATGTCTTCAGGGTAAAAGCTTTTGGGTAAGGGGAATCTTATTTTTAATGTCAAAAATAGGAGAAACAAATACATTTAGTCCTACTTTAAGTTTCAAGTCTGCTCACAAATCCACCTATGTTATTAGAGAAGTCCATCCCTGTGACCATAGAGTGTGAAAAATGTTAAAATTTGTATTTTAATGTATTCAATTTAGATTATTAATGTTTCAGTGTTCTGATGCCTTGCATTTTCAAATCTGGGCAAATTTCTGTAAGATTTGCACTCTGGCTATTACTGCAGTGCAGTACTTCAGCATTGCCTCATGGTTCCTTCTCAGCATCAGTTCTCCTAGATTCTTGAGTGAGCAATTGAGCCATTCAGTCTGCAAAACTTATATGGTGTGCATTTAAAATGTTCAGCTCACAACCAGCTTGGGTAGAAGGAATAACACGAATGTAACTGGAATCAATATTGCTTCAAAAATAATAGATACTTGGATATGTTTCTGGGATGCAATACAAACTGTCATGCAAAGTCTATCTGGCAGGTTCAAAATATATAGAATTTCTTTCCTCTGCTGGGAGAGAAATTTTATTTTTGAGCCTGTGTTAGATTTACCACTGTAGAGACATAACAAGTTTCATGTGTAAGCTTAGAATAATATCATGAGACAGYATGTTGAGTCCCCAGACTTTATTACTTTCTGCAAACTCAACTGTAAAACATGAGAAAAATGTACTAGATTAGCTAGGAACTTTTACCTGAATGTATCAGGACAGTTCAGATGAAACAGCTTTTTCATTTTTAGGGGGTGCCTCAAATGTGCTCTTGTATGAATTGTAATGCATGTCAAATAATTTCACTGGAGAGCTGACCTGASTCAAACTCTTTTCACTTTTAGACCTGTGGTATCAAATGATACTGCCTCCCCRTTTCGATTCATCAAAGAAGTACCCTCTGCTCATTGATGTGTAAGTTTTCAATTACATGGCAGTGTTGTGTTAATAATCACTTTCATCTACTTCAAATGCTCTTAATAACGAAACACAAAACTGTCATGTTTTCTGATTACTTCTTGAAGCAGTTTTAAGATGGAATGAAAAATTGAGGTGTATCCTAGTTCGTGGTGGATTCCTGTACCTTAAGATGATGTAATGCTTAATGAGCACAGACCCTGGCAGTGGCACTGAGGCAGATACATTCAGTCTGATTTAACAGCCASGATGTTCATGTTCGCTTACCTCCTCCTCTGCTTGTGAAGTTCTTTAGGAATAACCTTCTATGAAATGACACTCCAGAGTGAAACCTTGAGTAAGCTTTGTATCCTAAAGCTGAYGTCATGTGTGTGATGTTTCTGTGATATTTGACTGTTAACCAGTGTTGGCAAATGTCATCTTGTGGTCAGGGTTGCATTTGCTGTGGTTTTTTCACAAATACGAAACCATGTGCATGTGCTGTTTGGTTTGGTCTGGTTTTCCTCAGGCACTTCTTTTCATCCTGGTATGTTTTCTTATAAATGGGAATTACTGAATTTTAGCAATGCATTAATATGAAAATGTTAGCTTTTCCTCTTTTTACAAAAAGGTGACTCTTTAAGGAAAGTAGCTGTTAATTGTTAAACACATTTTTATATAATGCAATTTGGAAGCACTTTTTGATAGGCTTTTTGATATGCCTGTTGAACATTTTAATGAGYAGCCAGTGCTCTTGGCTTCTTAAGWCTTSTTTTGGTTTTGATGTTATTTTTACTGACTTACCTGGACCTTTGTCAGAATCACCTCTGGTTCAAGGTGACCTTAATATCAGAAATTACTTCAGAAGTATAGGGATTCATAGCTTGAATTAAAGAATTCTCAGTAGTTTGTTCTTTGCTTTTAAAACAAGTAACAGTGGGCTGTAGAGCCCTAAGAGCCATTATTCTGTTTCTTGCTCTGTTGAACACTGGCCAGAGGAGTGCACTGCACAGAATTTTACCATGGAGGCACTCAGTGTATGATTTCATAGTCRTGGAGTGCTTCTGAAATATTTTAAAGTAAAAAGTTAAAATTATAGTTTCGCTTCCTTTTTCTCAGCCTGTGTAAGAAATAGYTCAGACTGGTGAGATACTGAAAATGCAGAAAATTTTGTTTTTCATTTTTCCCATTGAAGGCCATTTGTTAATTTCMGACTTAAGCCAAATAAATCACGGGTGATTGGAACAGAAATAGTTAGAGAACATCACTTTGAAATTCAGGTGACTAGATATGCCAACACAAAAGAAATTTTGGCTTGGATTTCTGATAAGCTGCTTAAAGTCAAAATAATGAAGGTTTCTCACTAGGGCAGAAAGGAATAAAACAAAAAAAAAAATCCAGTCTGCTTCCATGATTAACAGGTGAGGTTTTAAAAAAGCATATTGCTTTTAGTAGCATTTTTGTGTCAGTCAGTGATGCTTTTCTTGTTTCCTGAATTTAATTTAAAAGTTTACCCTGCTTTAGAGGCCAAAACTGTCAGCTATAATTCTATTTCGAGCGCTCAATGTGAAAATAAGTGGAGAATAAATGCCTGAATTTTTTGTCACTTTTCACCCAGGTATGCAGGACCTTGTAGTCAGAAAGTCGACCAAGCCTTCCGCATCAGCTGGGCTACTTACCTGGCAAGCACGGAGCAGATCATCGTGGCCAGCTTTGACGGCAGGGGCAGCGGCTACCAAGGGGATGAGATCATGCATGCAATAAACCGAAGGCTGGGAACGTATGAAGTGGAAGATCAGATAGCAGCAGCCAGGTGAGCTACAGGGAAAGGTCAACACCTGCTSCTTCTTTGATGTGTTTATTGCGTAGAGGGGGAAAAAAGGAGAAGGTTTCAGACTGTCATCTTGAAATTACTGGCAAAAAAAATAACTACAGTCTGCTTAATTTTGTGCACTGAAGTGTGTCATTTATGGGCCARCCATCATTTTGTGCTTAAAAAGAGAGAAAAATTAATGCTGTAATACCAGTTAACCATATCTCTGATTTTATCAAGACAATTTTATAGAGATGATATGTGTCAAATTAGCGGAGAAACATGATACCAGGGAACTTGGARATAGAAGTTTTATGTTAAGATTTTTGCAAGTTTCTGTTGTGGCAGAATTATTTACGTGAAATACTCAGCCTTTAAGTCATAGTTCATGTTTTTCACTTGGTTTGTGCTTGTGGAACTTCACTAAAACAAGCAATCACAGTACGGATATCTCAGAATTCCAATGAAATGATCTTAGAGGTTTTTCTGTGTGGGATTTTAAAATGTTAAGCAATTTAAACAAATAGAATTTCACAATCTTTTTGTTGTTTTTATTTTTAATGGTGATTGGATTTACATGTGTTGGCCTGTTCCTTACTGCTGCAATTTGATTGTTGTGCATCTTAAAAAAAAAAAAAAAAAGACAAGGCAGGCAGTGAAACCTAACCTAATAGAATACAAATGTCAGTGATGGTGGGTTGAGGGGCTTTAGAGTGTCATAGGCACAGATGTTTTTCTAAATGTCTAAATTTCCTAAAGACACATGTGCCTGAATTATTGTCGGTTTTCATGTACAGTCACTATGATGAAATGAAAAATGCTTATTTGTACAACAGGAAGAAGCACATTTGATGGGAAATAGGTCTGTASAATGGCAGATACTTGCAATCCATTAAGTGTTTAATTATTCTGTTTGCTTTCAGAAAATTTTCTGAAATGAGGTTTGTTGATAAGGACAGAATRGCTATTTGGGGTTGGGTAAGTACTCAAATAATTTTGGCCGGAATATTATTTAATTTAACAGCTATTTGTTGTGCTGCCAAGTGTGTGAGATCCTGTAGTGCTTCATGTGAGGCACCTCTGGGGTCACAGCACAATCCYGTACTTGAACTGATGAAGTGCATCTTAAAAGTGCTTTTATACAGTGCCCCTTTGCAATCAYTCAGGAGCCTTTGTAAGAGAAATTAGGACTACTGCAGGGATTAAAAAGTGATTTAAACATATGCTGTCAAGTTCCTGTGTACAGTATGAACCAATACTAAAAAAAAAAAAAAAAATCCAAGTATATATTGACCAGTATCTCTTGTTGTATGACTGATTTTTACAAAAAGTTGTGAAATTACACATGAGTCAGCTGTGTGGTGTGTTTATCATGGTATTTGCAACCAGAGGACAGATATCTCTAGCTTGATGCATCTTTAAAACTTGTCACAGGAGATGGAAGTGTTTAACAGCATATRCATCCCCCCTCAGCTGCAAGGCTGTGTGTATGGTGTTAGTGATTCTAGTGCTGAATTAAATTGTTTCCTGACATTTGGGCGCTGCAGGTGACAGGCACCAGTGAATAAATTGCTTGATGGCAAGATGATGATGGTGYCTTTAATTGCTTTTCTTCTGGGGCTAAATATCTCTGTTACATGAAGTCATGTGTAATAGTATTAACTGCAGTGAAAGGAAAAGTCTTCCTGTGGAAATTGAGGATTTGATGCCATCCATCTTAAGTCCCTATGAGCTTCAGGATGAATAGCTGAAGAGCATTCCTCTTTGGAGCTAGGCTGGGATTATGCATCCTGGATACTCAACCTGTGGGCAAACAGATTTTCTTTATCTCTTGAGTTTTCAGATTGTCAGCCTCTCATTGTCAGCCTGTCACTATGTACATGGATGTTGTTTGCCATAGATTCAGCAGTAATATCTTTGCTGTGGCCAGGTTAGGCATTTATATGGGGGTTTAATTACTAAGTGCATGTGTTACTTTGACAATCTCGTTGGGAAGATCTAGGAATTGAAGTTGGAGCAAACATTTAAGGACTTTGAACTACAATGCAATTCCCTTTGCCTGTAATCTGGTTTCATGACAGGAATGAGATCCAAAAATGGCTCTTGTTTTTGAATGTGGGTGGGCACATTTTCCTAAATAACCCGTTCAAACTCTTGTGAGGGCAGTCATTTGGGCGGTTGGTGACAGTGTTTAGGTATCTTGCTGCCTGGATGCTCAAGTGTGTCAGATATTTACTCATCTGTGTATCAGGCTAGACTGTGAGTAAATTTTCAGTGCGTAGCGAGGARTGTGTTGTTGCACAGTTCCTCCCACAGACTCAGCAGAAGATCCTTCTCTCCCCAGTCACAGTCTTGCTCCTGACGCTTTGGGGGAGAGTTAGGGAGCGAGCTACCACAGGCCTGCTCCGAGGGAGCTGTAAATTTTTGGATGCCCCCTTGCAACTACTCATCAGGCACACTGTGGGCCAGAGCTCTGCTTCCACCCACGCCCCCAGCACGGGAAGGGACACAGCRGTTCAGCAGTGTCTTGTTTCCTGTGTTTTGCTGCTGCCTACAGCGCTACCGAACGCTGTCATCCTCAGCTGAGTCACAGTTCGGCAGCGTTTGYGCCCTTTTTCCCCACCAAGTTCCCATTCATCAGCGCCACAGCTGCCATGCGCTGTTTGATGCCTGTTTCCCCGACTGAGCAGGCTGGCTGAGATCTGACCCAAATTCAGAATGGAGTTCATTAATATGAAAAACGCTGAGCCTATAAATGTCTGATGAACTGTGTAGCAGATGGGCCCCATCCTTTCCCTTCCGACTAAAATAACAGCAATGTTTTCTTCTCAGTCTTATGGGGGATATGTGACCTCCATGGTGCTTGGCTCTGGAAGCGGCGTGTTCAAGTGTGGAATAGCGGTTGCCCCCGTGTCACGCTGGCAATATTATGGTATGTGATGGCTTCCTCGTTACAAGGATTCCCATATGTCTTCCAGTGCACACGCTGCAAAGTGTGGATTCGTAGCGCAGAACTTTTGATTATCTGCTAGATGCCATGGAAATGCCACTTGGTCTGTTTTTATGAACTCGTGGCCACTGCATTTTGAAATTAAACCAATTCACTAAATGTTATTTCTCATTTTAAAAGGTCAGATCCATAACTTCTGGTAATCTCTTTAACCATTAATGAAGGCTAAATTATTGTAATATTTGTAGCTTTGCTGTAAGGTGCCTGTGTTTTCTTTGAAATCGATATTGCATGTCAGAAATTCATTGCTGTTGAACTTCTGTGCCTTTAAAATRAACCTTCACTTAAAAGAATGAACTGTGAGGATTAACATTGAACTGGCACTGTTATTTGCTCTCTCAAAGTAACAGCATAGGATTTGAATTGCCTTAGGTTGGTCGATCAGGGGTTTTCTTAAGCATGTAAAATTTGGATTTTATAAATCTAATTCATCTTGAGAATAGCTTGATGTGAGGAAAACCCAATCAAGTGGACAAGTCTCTACATGCTGCAAGCCTATAGAGCATAAGGCTTCAAGTGGCTGCATGAGGCTACAAATAGAGTTATAGGGGCCCTCCTCCTAGATTAAAAAAATTACATAAAGTTATAAATAGGTGCTGGTGCAATCTTGGACACATTTTAACATTTTTCTGGGTTTTATTTGTCCAGAAACATTCAAGGGAAAGCTTTACCCAGCAAATCTCTGCTAAATAAGGCATAATTTGTCATTCTGCAGCTAGCACAGAGGCTGTGTAATAGCTAATTCAGCAGGTCAGATCATACTGCAGAAGTCTGTTGAGGACTTAGCAGGGTCTGTGTAATATTTGTGACGTGAATATTGCACTATGACAGGAAATACTTTTTTAATGATCAAGATCTCTCAGATTCCACTTCTGGTTAGTTAGATGAAGGATTATGGAGGCATACATATTCAGCATAAAAACACCTCTGGTGCAACAGCTCTGGTGAGAAGTCAAATGGACATTAGAATATGGCAGCAGAGCATTAGTTTGTATGGCTTAACACAAAGCAGCAAATCTGCAAATGGTAACATGGCAAAAAATATKTGGAAAATCATTATTTTTTCAGCCAAACTGAATCCTAATCTAATATTTTCATTGTACAGATTCTTGGTAGTAAACATTTAGTTAAAATATCTAATTTTTTTTTTGTCAAATGGTAGTTATTTACTGCAACGTTATCAGTAATTGTCTTACGATAACTGAAAGAATAACAATGAGGAAACACTGACACAAAGTACTATATTAATATTCAGCATTCAGGTGTCCATGGCAACAAGATTAAATATTCTGAATAATGATGGTTACCTACACCCCTCATTGTGGAAAACCTGGTTTTGTTTCCACTCGGCATTGTTACTGCTTGTATTGATGGGTAAAATTGATGGTAGAAAGACTGAAAATTAGGTAACAAATTCTAATTTGGGGTTTTTTTAAATTGCAGATTCAATATACACAGAGCGGTACATGGGCCTTCCTACAGCAAGTGATAATCTGAAGAACTATAATGTAAGAAAGAAATTTCTTTATTTCATTTTTCATATGTTTAATTTCTAAGCTGCTGTATTGTTCTTTAAACAGTTTAGTTCCTTCCCTGTGAGGAGAAATAGGTTTGTTTCTTCTTTCCAGCTGGAACTGTTGCATTGTGCTGTTAGAGGCTGTAGTTTCACATGTTTGGATTTGCAAAAGGCAGCTTCTTCTTGGTAGATGGTGTGGGCTTTCTGTTGTTTGTTTGGTGTGTTGGTGTTTTTGGGGTTTTTTTTTACATTCAGTTCCATTTGTCTATTTTGCAGACTGCAAAACAAGCTGTAAAAACTTCTGTTTTAATCACCAGGAAACGAATTTGTTTTAAAATTTAATATGTTCGTGAGCAAACTCTGMTTTCACTTAAACATTTTTTACCAAAACAAATGTACTCCCATTCTTTCTGTTTTTTTTTGTTTTTTAATGGGTATTGTGTGAACTTTGCTTCTTTAGGAATCTGCAAGWTTTTTGCAGGGAAAACAAAATCATCCCAATACTAGCACACAAGTAGGCAAGCCTGTGCTGTGATCATATCAAATTGCAGACCAACTGAGAGCCATCCGCATCAGGACTGGAATGTTGGCCCAGTCTCTGTGAACACAGGGTGTCCAGAGTTTGCTCTAACATGACCAGTGTTTGCACAGAAGTGAGGGAATTTCCAAGTGTCCTAATGAAAGCAAATTGCATGCAGATTGTTTGTCCTTGTTACAGAATGATTAATCAATTGTTTGACTTGCTCTTCCATGTGTCAGAGGCTTTTTGCTGSCTCAATGGCCTTTTGAAGTCACAGGTAGCTGGGCATAGCACAGAGCAGCCAAACTTTGGGTTAGGTTTTGTTAAACTTTAGGCTAAGCTGGAAATAGAGTGGCTGTTGGAGAACTGTGAGGGATCTGAGGTGTGCTTTGTGGCCTGGTTATTGGAATGTTTCACAGAGGAAACAAATCCAGCTGTGGTGATRCTGGAACCAAACGCTGATGTTAGAGAAGGAGATGGGGCATTCTCTGTGTTTGGTTGGAAAGCAAGGGTAGAAGACAGTTAGTGCTGGTTGGGTACATTGAAAAAATGTCATGGGTAGAAAAAAGGGTGGGGGTTGTTGCATTGATTTAAAAGTATGATAAAACAGACATGGACTGAAACGTGGTTTGACATATATTTATGGCATTCCGATATCAGCTGCTRTTTGAGATGTTCTGGTCAAGACTGGGGACAATGGTGGTGGCTGCTGTGTCTGTGTCTGTTCTAAGCAGGGAGCTCTGGGGCCCAGCAGGCACTGACCAGCAGCCCGCAGCCCCTGCCTGCCTTTTCCCTAATGTGTTTCTTTAAGGCAGTGGGAACAGTAGGAGGTCTGCGAGGTAGCAGAGTAAATACAAGTTACTGTCGCTGTGCAGAACGAACGTTAACGCTCTGGGTGCACAAAGTCACTCACCAGCTTCACAGCACAGATGGCAACAGAGGACTGTTTAATCCTTTCAAGCCAGGAGTCGGATTTTCTTGGCATAGTATCCATTGCTGGCAATGGCCACGTTGAAACTGCCAGTACCAAAGAGCTAAAGGTTTCAAATGTGTTACTCAGAGGACTAATTGGGGAGAATGGTGGCTAGATGGAGGAGGAGTAATTGCCTGGATCAGATTGTCACACTTCGCTGCTGCTCCTAGAGAAAGAAAAATGCAACTTAAGTCCTCATTTGTTGTTAAAAGCTCCAAATAATGTAGTRTTTGGACTTTAACCTGGAGGGAGGGTGGGGTAGCTCAAGAAGTGAGTTTTTTGTTTTTCATGTAGCCTCGGTGAAAGGGTTGTGGGATTTTGTTACTGCTGAAGACCCTTCCTGACTTCAGCCCAGCATGTTCCTGGCTTACAGCCCCTTTGTTCCAAGTCCCAGTCCCAATAGACAGGCTCCAACCCCATGACATTGCTGGAGCTGCTTGCTAAAATGAACGCTTTTTGAGGTAAATGCAAAATAGTACCCAAAACTAGTACATAAGCTGAAGCTGTTAAAGCATTTCTGCAGTGCTAGCTCTCTACTGTCAGGTTTGTAGCTGCATCATATATTCTCTGTCCTGCTGCATTGCTGTAAGGCTGGCATGAAAAGTGAAAAGTTGTATAAAATCTGTAGTAGGCACCCTGATTTAAAAGAAATGAGATGGTGTACACGCTGCTTAGAGAAGACGAGCATTGCTAGGCACCTTCCTAATGTGTAGAGTATTGTTAATTACTGAATATGTATTACTTACTATGCAGACTCAAGAAAACAAGTTGTGATAAGAGGGGTATATCCTACTTTTGTATACTGTGGTGTCAGGTTTTACATTCATTGATGGCAGAGAATCTGAGATGTTAAATGTTGTTTGTCAGGAGTCAAGTCTGAGGGAGGAGACACATTCCTAAATGGGCTAATTAGGTATGCTTAGTGTCTTCTAAGGTGGTTGTAAACTATTAAAAATTAGAGCTTTGAGAAAAAGAGGAGCAAGCATGGGTGGTGCTCCCAATGCAATCCCAGGCTGAATGGCAGAGAATCTGGTGGCCTGGAGAGAAACATCCCTGATGCAAAAGATTTGAGACTAAATGGGGGCAGAACTCTAGAGGTCAGACACAGTAGCCATGTAAAGCATACCGAAGAGACTGTTCAACTTGTGAGAACATTATTTTGCAGTTCACTCTGAATTTGATATGCTTTTGGCAAGTGTTGGAAACAGTCATAGATTTGGCAATCTTTTTCTAGCAGATTTGAAATGTTCAGTCCTTAAGAACTGCTGCATCATTAGGTTATGCAAAACAGGGTACAATTTTGTAAATACGCCATCTCGTACTGATTTGACATTTGTTCTATTATCTGAGAATATGCTAAAGGGAGAGAGACCTTCAGTTTCAGCCAAACCTTAACTTGTTTGTGGAGTGCTGATAAAATGTTGACTGCTGTGTGATCTTTAGAAAAGCCAGTTACACTCAGCAGGGCCTAATTCTCAGCACTTGGGCACGTTACCTTTTTCGGATCCTTTGTCCTGGCAGTGTAACTRTGAAATGGAATTGATAAATAAAGTTGTAATTAATTTATCCACTAAAGGTTTGTTCAGCTGATGTTGCTGTTGCTTTGTTCTCTAACTGTGCCTAACTTGAGATTGCTCCCTGTCTTGCAACCTTATTTAAGGACACAGAGGTGCTGTGTCCTTAGAGCATGTTTTAGGGAAGGGAGTCTTCATGTTGAGCGTGAGTACAGCAAGTGTGAGTACTGAATTGTCACCAGTGATAAAAAAAAAGCAGAGAAAGTATCTCATCTGTTTCTTTTTTCTGMAGTATTTTTACAAATAACTTTGTTTCATTTAATGCCTCATGGGGAAAAATAGTGACATCTTTATAAAGTGCTTTGTCAAGTCCTCAGAAATGTAATTTAAATCAGGCTTCCACCCATGGAAGATTTGCTTAAAACAGCATCAGTTTTCTGGAACAAGGCTTAGCAAGGTGATACATGAAGTTTCCCTCTGCACATGTGGAAAGTTATTTACTCAAAGGATACTGGTTGGTTTGGGGTTTTTTCTTGATTTTTTTTTGTCTTTAATCTCACTGAGCTGTTTCTTTCTGATTTGTTATTTTGGTCAGCTGGTTTACCACTTCTCAATGCATCAAAATGCTTTCTCCATTTTTTGGGACTCACAGCTGAATGTTCTTACTCCATGATACCAAATCATCTAAATGGAAAGTGTCATGTTTCCATTGTTGGTGGATTTCCATCTATTGGATGGGATTTCTGGTGCTCTCCTACCTCAGCCTACCAAAAGAGGGCAACTGCAGTGTTACACAGAGGAGGATGTATTTTTTATCCTCTCTGCTGAAGTTTTTTAGATTTGGTTGAATACAAGGAACTCATTTCATGTATGGAAGGGGTTGTGGTATGCTCTTCTGCCATGACAAAGAAATTTAATATTTGTACTTGCTATAAAGATTCATGACTGTACAAGTGACATAAGGAAATCAGAACATTTCTGTGCCTGGGCAAAATACTGTATTTTACTTTTTTGGGGTACTAATTGCAAATACCTGTGCAAGGATACAGACTTAGTACAAAGTGGGGAAGAAAAAAAGCACACCACTACATTCTACTGCTCCTAATTTTTAGTATTTTTTTTTCTTGCCTGAGTAACCAGTTGTCTTATCAAGTCTAAAACCAGTCTTTTTCTTCTGCTCATGGCAGAGCMCTATCCTAGTCCCTTTCCTTGCCCATATTAAAGATCTTATCTATCTCCAATCCTTACTGTCTTCTTTATTCTTCAGTCACATTAGCAAGTCAGGTGGGCTAGAGTGTTCTAGGGAACATGTTTTTACTGCGTTTTAAATTTTTCGATTAACCTTAGTTGCTGATTATTTAATCTTTTCATCACTGTATCATGTTTCCATTCCCAAAACGTAGCTTGACTTCTATTTAGAGATTTGGCCTAGTGTTTTTCATTCAGGCCTTTCTCTGTCATATTTGGAGAGAGCATTGTTTTAAACTTCTTGTTACCAGTTCCACTTGAGCCTGAGGCACCGTTGGCTTTGGTGCCKTACCTGCAGGTGAGCTGTGGTACCTGGTGGTGGGGAGGATAACGTGTGCAGCCTCTGCAAGATCTGCTCCTTGCTCTCACAGGGTGCACTGTTGCCATGGCAACAATTTWTTTTTTTTTTTTAAACTTGTCTGCAGTCACATAGGAAACCTATGGCACGAATGTGCTGCACGCTACCGACACGTTAGCAGTGCCTGGAYCATGCACCTCACTCCAGAACTGTCCCCCTCTGGCACTGCCTGTTCCTTTGCAGCCATAACCAACCCTCAGTAACGATGGCAGATGGGTGTGGAATGGTTTGAGCGTGGGCACCCTGCTCCTGGATGTGTGACCGTGCCCCAGGGCAGTTCAGAGCGGGGTGAGCAGGGCCGTGCTCGCGTTTAGCGGAACGACCCCAGACTGTGTCAACAGGAATCAAAGTCACTTGGTAGCAAGTCAGCTCCTAATAAATAGCACCTTTTTTCTTTTTTTCTTTTCCCTTTAATTTCAGAGTTCAACAGTAATGGCCAGAGCTGAAAAATTCAAGGAAGTTGAATATCTCCTTATTCATGGAACAGCAGATGGTGAGTTGCAGTTAATTAGACATTTTAGTATTACAGACAGGTTCGCAATTCTACTACTGACAAAACAAAAGCATGAAGGGGCAAGGCTGTTACATTTACGTCAATAAAATAATACTGCTTTTTGCAACTAATTTGTGTTTCAGTCAGCAGTGTTGGGGAGTCTGGTGTGTTCATTGCTTTGATTTACCCCCAGAGTATTACAGAAGCAATTTTTGTTTACCTTTTTCCTCTTCCACTTTTCAGATAATGTTCACTTTCAGCAAGCAGCACAGATTTCCAAAGCTCTTGTTGATGCTGAAGTGGATTTTCAGGCAATGGTATGGTTGTGTTTTGTTTATCATTTTACAAATGAGAATAATAGCATAAGCTCCCTGTGGTTGGCTAAAAATTCATTGCCATCTTAAATGGAAGTTCATATAGTTGCATTTCATGTTCAGTCACTGAAAATTTGAACATAAAACATGTACTTTGTTTCTACACAAGGAAAACTGTAAAGCAGCGCCACCTCACAGTTGGCCCTCTCCACCTAATCTTTCATTTTGTTAAATTTTTTGTGTTCTCAGACAAGCAGCCRGTCCCAATCATTGCATATACCCAAAGTGCAGTATCTTACAGCTAAGATAAAAGAAAAGGTTAACTTCAGCTAAAGCCAAGAAAACCTGTCTGTCACGTCTGGTGTTTATTGAACTTGCAATTCAAGCAGTTATTTGCCCCTTCTTATGATGTACATGGAAGCTCTCACACTAAGGTGCAAGCTCTTCCTTTCCTACATTATCTATCTCAGCCCCTGGGAGCAGTGCTGAGAAGGATGATGTATAGGAGGAGGCCAAGTGCATGGTTTTCCTTSAGCCAAACTGAAAGGACAGAGAGAGGGAGAGGTCAGGCACCCTTCCTAACTGCACAAGTCACATGCTGTTTTTACACCTTCAGTGTAAATACATAGCATCCCATACACRAAGAAAGGGCTAAAGTGTCAGAGCAGCTTCCTACCCCATCACGGCTTTGCCTCCGTCCTGAAAGCCTCATGCTAGGATCATTTTTATGTCTGCCATGTTTGATTTATATCATTTAGGTGTAGCTACAACTAACATTCTCTGTATTTCTCTTTCACGCAGTGGTACACTGACAAAGACCACGCCATCTCCGGTCAAGCACACAAGCATATMTATACCCATATGAGCCACTTCATAAAGCAGTGCTTCTCACTGCACTARCACCAGCATTTTGCTTGTCAGTGATGGTACTYCTCCAGAAAACTCCCTGGATAATGTACTCTGAGCCAGTGTAAATCAAAGTGAGATAAGAGTCAGCTCTCAGGATACCGGTGTACACAATGAAATGCTAATCTTTATAATGATTCCTGTTGCCAGGCAACTATTGCATTTTTATTGATTTTATTTAATCAGGTATTAACATCACCAGAATGATGTTGCAGACTTCTAGGAAGCCTGGTACTTGCTTGAGTAATTACCTTTTGATATATTTCAGTCTAAGAGAAACAATCTGGTTTGTATATCAGGATAATGAATGATAAAAGTGTCACATGGAATCAGTTGCAGAGTAAAAAAATCTAGTGATGTTTCCATGAAAAATGAAGTGAACCCTGGGATCAATTCTGTGATAATAATGAAGAAACTTTTTTGCAGAAATTTTGTAAGGCTTGATMATTATTATTTTAGAATCAGTATCAGGAATACTGTGATGTTAATATTTTATTTGCAGAATGAAATATTGTTTCTRCTGCAATGCCTGAAGTTTGTGTGTTTCCTCTGCAATCTTTTGTATTACCATTGTAGAACTCTTGCAAGGAAAGCACGTAACCAGCTTTCACCAAAGATTTTGATACCTAATCAAACCAATGGCACTGAATTTCTTTGTGTGCTATCATATAGTACTGTGATTTTTGCTTATTTTATAGTAAAAAAGGCTGCTACTCTGGGAATCTGCACTGTAAAATCCTCTGGGAACTCCAGAGGATCCCCATTTTTCTTTTTTTAATAGAAGTTGCTCATGTATTGATGAACAGGAACTGGTTCTTACATTTAAACATAAAACATTACAATGCCAACTAGCAGCCACTTAAAGCAAGGGYTGGACTGTCACTCTCATGTGAACATGTTCTTTGGCAAACTGCTTTTCCTTACAGCCTACCAATAATTCCCTGCTTTATTTTCAGCACTCCAGGTAGGCTTCTCCATCTGAGGATGAGTAGTTGTCTCAATTCCACATAGATAGAAAAAAACACAATCTGCTTGTACTAAAAACTGTGCTGCTTTAAAATAATAAAGACATTAATTTATAAAAGGTGTAGTCCATATCATTGAAAATTGCTTCAGAAAAAAATAAAAGCTAGAATGTTTTTTTAATCCCCATTAATTTTGAGGACGACGTTAACAGTGAAGCTTCTGCTTTTGTGTAATGGTATCATGTAATGGAGTGTGACATGATTATCTAACACTTAGCTTCTTGATATTACATGCCAGCATCTGATTATGTCTGTATTGTGGGTTATTAGTGACATTAGGTGTGAATGTAAAAGTACTCATGCAGACAGATAAAGCATGGGGGAGAATGTTAAGACACTTTGTGCAGCTCATCCTTAAATGAAAAAGCCTCGGGTAGAAAATCAGGTTTTATTTTCACAAACTAACAATTCTTTGACTCACAARATAAGATGTTGGTTGGTTTTGTTCTGTTGGGGTTTTTTTGAAACACACTGGAGTGGTGTTTTGCAAATATCATCTTGGGTTCAAGGCAGTAGTGGCTCTAATGTACACTGGCACCACTCCTAAAGTTCTGTAGGATTAGAGGCCGTCAGCTGTCTCCAAGAGGTTTTATCATCACATCTCTCATTCTTTTGACTTAAGGAAACAAAACCTAAATCAGTATAAGGTAGAGCACAGCAATCCAGACAGGTTATAAGAAAAGATTATCATTATGAACTTTGGGATGGCAAGGGTATACGTATGCAAGGGTAAATAGCTGAGATTTGTTTTAATGCTATCACTTACACTGTCCTAAAGACAAGTGTTTATACTCCAAAAAATAATTTCACTAGGCTCTCATTAAATAACYGCAAGAATTAGTATAATTAAAGAAGCATGTAAAAAAATACGTGAAACTAGAAATTACATGGTCTAAGTCTTTCATTAAGTAAAGACGCAGTTCTTGCATGTGACCTACCTTAATGATTCTGGCATCTCACTGGAAAACTCTTCTGTAGTCTCAATAATCCCCTTTTAAATGTCTTATCAGCAAGGCATAACAAAGTTCAATGCTAATTATCTTTCTTTGTCTGGAAAGCAACTTCCAAGATAAGCTGCTAACAGACAATGCTACAACTTCTTTTAAAAAAGGAAGTTTTATTGCTATAGTAAGTGTCCTAGTTAACATCAATTCAGTGTCTAATTTTTCATTCTGGTAGAACTCTCTCAGCTCCAAAAATAATGCAGGCAATAGGATAATAGAGCTGCCTGAGGGAACTGCCAACTTGCTTGAACTGCTTGAGCACCAGAGAACTAAAACGGAGGCCACAGAACACAGCCAGCTCATGTCATTAATGTGCAGAGCCAGAAATCAGTTGTGCCTGAAGCAGTGCCACATGCTACTTGTTACACACCTACCAATTACCTTTTTTCTCTCTATTTTTTTCCGTATGTTAAATGGATACTTAAGCTTGCTGTACAATCACTTTGTGTAAAATCCTGACAGAAGCAGCTGCAGTATGAGGTGTCACCACTCTTGAGGCTGGGAGATTTCTAGTCTTTGGTTTAAAAATTGGTGAAGAAGCTCAAAGGGATTTAGTAAGATGGAGTCAATACTGTGTGTAGTACTGGGATTTATTGCCTAAGTTTTTCAGTAGCAGAAGTTTATGGTTCTAAGAGCAGAAGCACAGAGGAATTTTAAATTGTGTGAGCTTACCTACTGCTCTCTAGAAATACCCCCAAAGGTACCTGCTTGGGCCACATCATCTCTCTCAGGAGGAAGGGGGACCAGCTCGTGAGCAGTAAATTGGAGCTCAGTTCCTCTTGTCTCATGGAACAGGGGAGCTCTGAGCTGTCCCCAGTGTCACACTCACTGTAAGGTCAGAGCAGCACATCCCCATCAGCTCCAGGCAGGGAGAGCTCCCAGCTCTGCACCTTCCAGTGAGGCTCCAGTGGCACAGGGAGCCCTGCTGGGCTCCACCACTCACTGCTTTGTCAAGCACCTTCAAGGCAGGCAGACATTTCAAATACCACACAATATTGCTGTTCTGGGTTTTGCAGGGCAAAAAATAAAATTGAAAATTTGTTAGGATAAATATTTATTTTCACATAACATATCTTAATTGTGAAAAACACAATAGTCTATTCACATGTACACATAAACTTTTGTAATAAATTACATCCAAGAAATTGAGTAATTTTGACCAGGAATATGAAATTAGAAGTAAATATAGCACTACATCTGCTTTATATTGTGTTGATTTCAGAATGTTAAGATTAACATTGGAATAGCATTTAAATTCACGCAAAACCAGAGTGTTTTAAAATAAAATCACTCTGAAATACTGAACAGAAATACAGAATGCTATTGAATACACTGATTTCTTAATATTCTAAGAGTTGGTCAAGTGAAGCGAATACATTTTGATTGTATACATTATCTGTAACAAAGTCAGCAACATGTTAAAACACCATCAGGCTGCTTTCAGGACAAACCAGTATTGAGCTTCTATACTAACCTTAAAACAATTGGAATCTTACAATTTATCATCAAGTACACAAAACAAAGCATTTAACCTTAATGCATCAGCATTTTTTTCCTAAATTTACATATACAAACATTGAATTAGATGTAAATCTTTCTTTGTGTCCATTAGTTTTTTTTTTCTCCATAAAAATGGCTTTTAATGGGCTTTGATAATGCTAAGGTAAATTTAGAACAGTGACCCTATTAAGTTTGCAGCAAAATGCAATTATTTATGGCTAAAGTATTAAAACATACACACTTACACAAAAAACATTAGAATACTTCAAATGTGCAAGATGATAAAAGTTGTTCACAAGGTGTATAGAAAATCAGCATATTTTGGAAAGCTGGGGAATKTTAGAGCCCTATGGATGAATTCTTATGAAGATTGTAAGACTATAATTCTTACTTTTAGGCTTCAAAGTTATAGCATAATACTGAGAGTTAGAATTCATTTTAATAATTTAAAAATTTATCTTAAAAAATTTTAAAATCAGTGAATTCCAAATAACGCAATAAAACTTCAGATCCACATTCCTGTTCATTCAATACCTAATCTTGCAGTCTTTTACACAAAAGAACAGCTTGAAGGATCAGGCAATAATAAAATCCATTATGAAAAATGTAATAGCCTTAAAGCCATATTTTACTTTGCAATGTTGTTTTTATCTGTTAATCAATATGTACTTGATGGAATAATGAAGAGCTGTAACAAAACAACAGCAGGATACCCATTTAAGTATTATACACAATCTCTGAAATGAAGTTTACAGTTGTCAGTAGAGAGAAGACAATATAAACATGCCCTTTATGTGGCTGAATTTTAAGCARTAAGAGGAAGATCATTGGGCAGGTGATATAACTGCATGTGGGGTATAGTTGGTATCTACAAAATTTTCCCCATTATAAAATAATGGACTGATTAATGACAAAATGCATTTGTTTGGCCTACCATGGCAACATTCAAACAATACAAGGTAAGCTACCGTAATCATAGATTGCATTTTAAGAGTACTGGATCCATGTTTCACATCAAAGGATGTGGTGGTGTTTTTCAGCTAAGGTGAGGAAATGTTTTAATATATATTTTATATATATATTTATATATATATATAGAGAGAGGACTATGTTCCAGTTACATACAAATTTTAATATTAAATACACTGTATTAAATCAAGGAAAACCTCACAAATACAGAATCTGTCCCTGCAATTCGCATTGCAAAAGTAATCCATGACTTCAGAAGGACAGGTAAGGAGGAAAGGATTATCCTTGTTAGTTTGTTCACAGGGTCAGATCAGTTGTTATTTTATAAATTTCTTACTGTTTGCTTGTCAGTTTGGGTCTCCTGAAATCATTTACTAGTTACATAATTTAAAAAAAAAAATGGAACAAGGGTTTTCAAGTTCATCTTGAATCAAGATTATTAAGTAKTCTCACACAGAAAAAGTAGCAAAATACAGTACAAACCTATTAACAGGAAAGTTGAATTTGAAAGAAAATTTGCTTCTTACATTTCTGATACGAATACTGATAAATGGCCAAGATCAGCAACAAACACAAAGATKTTTTGCATTGGCTACTGCAGACATTTACATTGATACTAGACAAGGTAGACAAGGTGGAATGAGAYGAATATTGCACTACATTACCTGTGCTAGTTTGAGATGAAAGACAAAAGTTACAAGGTAAATCATTTMTATTTAGTGGTTGTGGCACTCCTTTAATTCATTTGTAAAAAAACTACTTGAAGAGCAAGTCATAGACAAGTCTCCCGGTCAACACCTTTCCCTGAGTCAGCTTTCTTCTCTTTTCTGATTTCAGCACTAGGAAACGAAAGGGGAGACAAAAAAGAAAGAGTTACAGTAGCACTATCATGTACATATACATATATAAATTATCTACCTGAAAACCAACATTGCACAGATATTTTACTTTCTTTTTCATGCTTCATGGCACAAACTGGGAAAGCGAAGTGGCACAAAGTGAAAATTTCTGTGCTGAATGGTGCAGAAGACATCAGCCAGCATTTCAATGACAAGGTAGGTAAYGAACTTAAGATGAGCAGAGACAAGTCAGCCAGCATGCAAGCAAAGATAGCCACTTCTTTTATTTTTTGGCAAATACAACTGGTAATTTACTAAATAATGGTAATGGTACAGTTCTCAGAAAATACCAGGACATTCTTAAATGGAACAAACAAGAGGTCACARTAAGTATTTGTCTTTAAAATGTATTCTCTTGCTCACTGTACAATTAGAAGGAATGTTTCTGAACTAGAGTAGTACAAGCCAATGTCCAGCTAATACTTGGCTTTCAGTCTTGATTGGGGAGAATAGAAGGCTGGGGAGGATGGGGAGAGACAATATTCCCCACCTGGAGTTTGATACATACATTCTCATGGATACATTATAAGGAAATTACTTTTAAATTAAATTTTTTAAAAAAAGCCTGAAAGACCATACAAAACCCATATCATTCAGAACTCTGAGCCAGAGTTCAGATTTGGATTCAGCTTTTTTTTTTCCCAGTTAAAACAATGTTGATTTGCCTACAGAAAGCAATACACRTGCAAAGCAGATGATTTTTTCGTGTATGTGAGGGTTCCAATTTACAACAGCGTAAATAAATAAAAAGTCAAGTTCTTCCAATGAGTCTCAATCACAGTATGAAAATACAAAGAGGCTCCCACAACACAGGCAAATCAAGCCTTCAACAAAGAGTGGCAGGGTATCTTAAAAAAAAAACAAAAAAAAACCAGATGGTTCTGAGAACAAACCTGTAGCAAGCACATAACCTACCAGGATTCATGGGAATAATTCCTTAACTAGAATGAATGAGAAATAGGCTGAGTTACATGAGGTTTAAAGAAAGCAAGATCAATTCTCAAATTGTTAAGGCGATTCATGCACAATTCTACAATCATCTGACATTTCCCTTCACATAAAAATTGCTTTAAGGATACAATTCAGTTCAGCCAAAGCTTACTTCTATGCCTATGGCAGCTTCCAGAGGTGTTAATGGAAATAGCTAAAGAATACCAACTTCTGCCACTTCAACTGCCAAATCTGTCACCTTCTGTAGAACAGTGATAGAATTGGGTATGTTACACTTTCTGCACACAAAGGGTATGCAAACAAATTCCGGAGGGGGGTGAACTGAAAGTGCAGCAGTACAGCAGGCAGGGAGTTACCTGTGCTTAGTAAAAGCAAACACTGAGGTGTTGTGTGCCTTACAGTCTATAATATTTCCACGTTTTAGGTGCCTCTGTGATACCAGGAAAGTCTTCCTTCTATTTAGGATTCACATCTCTGAGCAGCTCCTGCAGATGTGGGCTTTAATGCCTTGAGAAATTTGAAAAAAAAAAAAAGGACAAGTCCAGTCTTTTGGCGGTAAAATAAGTCACTGGTGGATCTGTAAAGGAGTTGGAGCTCTCTTCCTCCCTAGCAAGGGAGTCGTCTAAGCCTGAGCAGGAAGGTCTGGGGTGTGGGATTTTCATACTTCAGGTAGAAAAGGGAACTCACTCATACCATCTACAAAGTGACAGATGCCTCTTTCTCCAATTCTTTAAAAGACCTGCTAAGTCTATCTCCTGTCCATGGTCAGATCTCCTGCATATGCTTTGAAATTGCTCTCTGAAGGGCTGTGCCAAAGAGGGTTGTGTTTCAGATAGGTGCCTTGGTGTTCAATTCTACTGAGAAAGGCTCAAAAGCAGAGCTCTAGGTCCCTAGGAATTTTAACAATGAAAAATTAGGGTTGGAAAACTACAGAGTTCACGTGCCTCTATGGCTAGACAACTTGAGTGAACCTCATAKAAGCTCCCATCAGACACTTAAAAACATTCAGGAGCCCAAGATTTAAGAACTTGCTCACACTTCAAGAATCAGGGCCAGGGCCCATCTTACGATAGAAACTATCCATGCATCAGGCTGGCAAGTTATTTGTATAAACCCTTCCGGCCTAAAATCTCTCCTTGTAGATGATCTTAGATCATAATTAGCCAAGTCAACTCAGCACTTCATTACTATGAATAACTTMCAGATTTTATGTATTCCAGAAATCGTCCTATGTTGTTAATTGGTCAACACCTTGCATAAAAGGCATTACACAAAATCATAGTACACCATCATAATCTAATTACCCCATTTAATAATATTTTGGGATATAAAGAATCAGATCTGAGAGCAGAAGGRTAGTACTAAGTGTTATGTAGTTGAACTTCAGAAATAAAAATTATTTCAAAATGGGAATTTTTTTCCCTTCTGCAACAAGATATCCTTCATGAGGGAATTGTGTAATCTAACACTGCTGATCTTGATCATTTGCAAAAATTATCCTTACAACTGCTACCATTCCAAGCTTTTTTTTCCTTGGTAATAATTTAGGATTGAATTATATCCTCATGAAATGATACATGCATTATGGTTTATAATGTTTCTGTAGTTCTATCCCTAATATGATTTAAGATTAAAGTTACCCATGGYTTTGCTTGTGAGAAAAGAAGTCCTTTCAGGGTTAAAGCTTTTTGAATCTACTTCTCTCAGAATCTGAGACAAGCTAGAGCACATGAAAATGCAGGATTTCATAGTCTTTAAGGCTGTTCTTTTATGACAGGACACTCACATTAAAATCTTTTCTCCTGAGTCTTTGTTTTTATGAGCAGAGATATAGGAACAGATTGACAATGAGATCTTTAGAAAATTAGTTTCTATTTTACTGCAGTGGAAAGGCCAGATCTCTTATCTGAGCCACAATCTGTGTGGGTGCTCTTTGTTCAGAGGGTCATGTTTAYATAATCCATCAGACCATCAAAGAAAGCAGCATCCACCAGGAAAATTGCACCTGCATGCCCAGGGGCTGTGAATGCACCACATCAGATTCTTYTCTTTCTCCAGGCTTTCACAGCCTGGACACCAAAGGCAATAAACTGGTACATCCTCCTCCTGTGCACCACACTGATTTCAGTGGCAGGTTCCTTTTCAGCCCCTGTGTAGGGTGGAAGGCAGACAAGAACTACACTATTTGAAATATCATCAAAATGAGATATGTCAGTGAAATATCATCAAAATGATCATGTTAGTGGGCTGCTCCAAATGAAGGTTCTCTGGTCATCAACTGCTCAGTCTTGTTTATGCTGTACAGGGGAAAGAACAACACTGGAAGGCAGCATGCCATTTTGGGGTGACAAAATAAAAAAAAAAACCTGTATCACTACAAAAGTTCTCTTACTGCATCTATTGATCTTGAAACAATGACCAGTTGTTTCAAACATGGAGCTTTTGAGAAGTATATTTAGAAATGGGCAGAATATAATTCTGTATTTTAAAAAAGATGACTAGGAATAAATTGAGTTTGACATTTAATTACACTATGTCTGTAGTTTCTATTAGTAATACAGACTAGATTTCAAATTTTAATATTTGGGACTTTAATGAAGACATTTTACATTCCTATTTGAATTTTCTTTCCATTCTGTCTCCCCAAAAACTACACAAAGTCAACTCATTTGGGTTCCAAGGTGACACCATTTTGAATTGGAAGACATTGTCAAGGAAAATGTTGGGCACAGGGTCTTACCTTTGGGGAATCAGCTTCTAGAGTGATTAGGAAGGGGAGCTTATGACAGAAATGTGATACAAAACAATTAAATAGGAAATAGTTAAATTTTAAATTTATGGAGGCAGAGAAAAAAATTCTCTTAAAAGAATCACACTGTGCTTGAATTTAGTAGGTTTTTTTATTCCTGTAGTAACTCTGTACCACAGATAAAATATTGTGACTAAAATTTAAAATTATTTAACTCTTTTGAGTACAAGTGAAGTAGGCAGAAAAATGTAAAGAAATGATGCAATCATAAAATTATTTTCACTCCAAATATTATTAGATTGCATTCAGAGTACTGGGTTCTTCATACAGCTATTTCCAGGGCAGTGATGGTCACTCCTTTTTCAAGAGGAAAGAACAAAAGCAAGCAGAACAAACACAACAGCTGTTGTGCAGTATCCAGGTGGAGGCTGGTGGTTCATTACACAAGCATCAGGCATGCTCAACTTCATTTTCCACTGGAGCATAACTAAGTACCATGCAAATATTAGTGATTTTTGTTTTTTAATAAATAATGAATTTATGCTTTCAGCTCAGAAAATTATGGCTGGACTTAAGAAATAAAACTGCAAAATGCTAGAAATCATTCTAATCCCTAGCAAAATATTCTAATACTGGTTTGACACCAATATATAAAGTATAATGAAGTAAAAAAAAAAAATTAAGACCTTTTAGAAGGAAAGCTTGACTCCTTATCTTTTGCATTCTCTGAAGATATCAACAATGTCTTCCACACAGCAGTTTTTGCCATTTCATCAGAAATGTTTATCACGGATGGATCATCTCTAGACAAGAAGTAAAGTAATACACAATAAAACAATCAGCAATCAGTCTTGTTACTTATTAACTCAATTTCGAGGACTCAAAAAAGTCCTTGAAAACTGATAGTGATGACAATTAAGTGCATTGTAAGTTAAGAAATTAAGTTAAACTTCAGAAGTCCTGAACAATTACTTAAATACTCTCTTAGAAYATCTTAGCATTTTTTCGTATTTTCTTCCTACAACAGCATTTAATCACAGTAACATCAATAAAATATATTGTGTCACTCCCATCTAATAAACGAGAAAAAGTAAGAGGTGTGAAATTAAATATTGCCCAAGATCTCACAGCATGATAATGGCATGGTTGGATTAAACATGAATCCCAAAAGGTACTACTTATGCTCTGAAACGCCACCATTCTAAAAAATATAAAACCATTCTAAAAGCAAGCAAAAACCTTAACAAAATACTTAAGAGATCTAATAAAAATGCCCAAATTAAGCTAATCAGTAGCCTTAAGTAGCACTTTGTAGCCATTATGCTCTTTGTTTTACCTGGACTCTACAAACATGCATTTATATACKTAAGAATAATAAAGTCTTAAATGTTTGAAGGGGTTGCCTGTACATTATTCCATTATTCCAAGGATTCCTAATCCAAATTACATGTACTTGGCATTCAGTAAACCCTAGGTAAACTTGCCATCATGTTTTGGGGAGCCACTTTTRCCAGCCAATATCTTGACTCATTTTTAGCTACAGGACTGTGACAGTACAGAGAGTCAGGTATTATCCAGGCAACTCTACAGTATCAGCTCTCAATAGAGATTGAGAGAGATCACACTGGGGGATAAATTAAGTTACATATTGCTAATGTAAATTAGAACAAAAAGGTATGGACAAAACAAGAAAAAGAAACCCGTAAGTTTAAAAAAGACCGTTAGTAGTGTGGTGAGTCAAAAGAAATAGGCTGGGGTTTTTCAGAGACACAGAACTGATTTGCATTAGGAGACATCAGGGCAATTTCAAGTTAAAATGTTAGAGAGGAGGCCACTATGAGATGGTGTTCTTTGAACTCACTTTAATGCAGAGGTTACTGTTGCCAAATATTTAAAATCCTTTATTAAGAATATCTTTCTGAAAACTGTAAATTCTATTAATTCCTTATGGGCTGGCAATATATATTGTTATTTTCTATAATACTGATGCKCTTGCTTTTTTGAGTAGTGATAACCCTGCATCATGCCTTATCTACCCTGGGACATATCTTGATTCAGTCATTATCTTACATAATAGGATCTTAATTAGAATGTTTGAGAATGTAATCCTGTAAAAACCTGATTTTCCAACAGTGTGTTCAAAACCTTTCCTGGATCCGTGCTTGCATCAGGGTGAAGGGTTTGACCTGCCCTGCATCTTCCTTTTTCCCAGTGCACATCTAGAGCCAAAGTTCATTGTGAACAGTCTGAACCTGCAGTCCTGCCCAATGGCAAACTTCCAACTAGTCTGTCCTTTTCCTAGGGATTGTGAGATCATGTGGAAAGTCTAGGAAAGGGCTGACCTTGTTAAATGCTGCAGTGTGTGGTTCAGTTCCCTATCTGTACCAGACAAACATCCTYCTGATATTCAGTAGGCATTAAGAATCAATATTGTGGCATATTTATTTTATTTAATTGCAACTCACCTAAAAGAGGAAAGGTATATTTTACCTGTAATGTCCTTCTAGTGGTAACTGAACAGTCCCTTCCTCTTCCATTGCTAACATACTTTGCTCTTCCTAGAACGAAGAAATTTAGACATGAGAAAGGACATAAAACGGCAAAAAGTGAAATTTATGTACTGTCATCATTTTTCTTTTTCCTTTAATATTAAATACCTATTTGAAGTTCTTAAAGTAAGATACTTTTCAACTCTTTTAATTTAAATCATTTACATTTAAGACCTCCTGTTTTAAAAGATGTATCTTCACTTAATTATATTTTCCAGTGCCAAATAGAGCATTGTTTTGTAACAACAGAGAGGAAGATTAGAAACACTGAGTGAACAATCTTCTGGTGAATTTTAAATAACATTGATAACAGGATATATGCATTGATGTTTACATGCAAACATTTGGGAAGAAGATTTAAGTTTGCACACACAGTTTTAATACTGATAAAGTCTTATTTCGGTGAAAAGTGAAAATAAGACATGCAAAATTAGTTTTCACTTGAAGAGAATTAGGAGATAAATSTACCAAAAATCTTTACATAAAATAATTACAGATTTAGAAATATCTGACTTAGTGGGAAGGGAGAAGAATACAACACCTCTTAAGCACCATGTCCTGCCTGCAAGAACAAGGAAAAACAAATCCTCCACAGGAGGATTCTCAGTGTTCACTCCTGTTAGGCYAGGATAACCCAGCCAGGAGCTTAAAAAGATTTGGCAGGAATGTAACCATCAAATCCTAAATGGGTGAGCCCAACAGACACCCAGAGATCTCCACAGCTTTCTCCCATTTATCAGATGGCTTTGTACCAGTTTTTGCCAGTGCCTGTCTGAAAGCATGAGCTGGCTCTCCCAAACAGAGTTGATCATTTTCTGGCACATCACCAAAGCCCACATGCATCACCACACACACTGATTGTTGGGATCAGCTGCAGGAGCCAGTACTATTTTCCAAAACAGTAGAATTTAAGTTCTCTCTGCTCAGAAGTTTGTTTTTCTATGCCTTATCATTACAACTATYGCAAAAGTCACGATATTTTTTTTTCTTCAAATGGGAAAGTCCTTTGTTCATTCTTGTCTTGGAAAGACTTAATTGGTTAACATCAAAGTAGCTTCCAAAGGAGGTCCGTGAGGGGAAGGCACATATCACATCCACTATAAATGTACATAGCCCTGGAAAAACATGGCCTAAAAATATAAAAACAACTTAAGTGATGAAATTAGGATCCAATCAAGTAAGTTTCAGATCCTGTCAACTATATTTCTGAATATTCTTGTGGGTAGAATACTTCTATTTTTAAAAGCTGTGTGATAGCAACTCTCCAATTAATTCCTTAGGCTACATGTCAGAAGTTTTTTATTACTAGTTAATTTTGTCATTTCCAGGCTTCACAGCTTCATAAGTTTTTGACAGTTGAACAGTTTTAATAATAGCTCTAAATATTTAGAAATGCCAAAATATGTAAAAATAACCTCTCAAAATAGACAGTGAATGAAATAAAGTAACACCAGTAGATTTTCCCAGTTTTGTTTTCTGATGCCATCCTATCAAGCAAGGGAAGGAAAGTGACATATAACMAAAACATAAGGATAACAAGGAATTCTATCCAATAACCAGACCCACATGAWGAGAGCTACCTTGGTTACCTCTGGTTACTCTGAATTGTGATGACAACAGACACCGTGATGAAACAACTCTCTGGTCTGCTTYGATTCAAGGGAGAAAACAATGACTCACATATTTTAATTTCAGCCTGGTAGTTTTACAGGCACATACTAAATAGTAAATCATCATTGTGGTATTTATCACATAGGTAAAACCTTTTCCCCAAAACATATTCCATGACAATATGTCGAATGTGTAAAGGCAATCAAAGTTAAAGAGTTCTCCAGGTTACAGATGAGGCAGGGAGTTGCCAAAGGTCACAGAATCAATCCTAAAGGCAGAGAAATCTAAAGGCAGAGAAATCTAATTTGTGTAGTTACAGGTTCAAATTATTAGCTCATGTCCTACTTCTGCAAATAAAGCTGCTAATGGGAATCCTTAACAGACACATTTCACTGGTCTTGGAGCAGGACTCAGGGCATCCCTAAGGATAAATGGCTGATTTACCCATTCACATTCTCTCATTTTTGCAGTACCTTTATACCACCAGAAGTCTATGCCTTGTGAGTCCTGGGCTTTTGCAGAGGGGTCAAAGAGGATCTCAGAGGGCGTGTACACAGCAATCCCCACTGGCTGCCAGGGCTGCACAGCCCCAGCTGCAAATTCAGCTCCCACCGCTGCCACAGCCTCGCTCACGGTGCAATTCAACAGTGCTGATGCAGGACACACAGATCCCATTTAAAACACCCCAGCATCAACATTTTCTATCTACTGCCCTTCAGTTTCACCACTGAGAGTTATCCCTCATTTATTTGGGCCCAGTACTGAGGTTTCCTAAGAGCTGACATTGGCGGATACCAGGGACAAAGSACACGTGTGTCCCTTACACATAAAGTTACTTTATATCCCCACAGTTCTTCTACTAAAACAAGAAATTCATGAAGCAACAGCTAGATAAAAATACTATAAAATGGAGGCAAAATTGGTTAGAAAACTACAATCAGAAAGAGCAGTGTTTCACTGCCAAAATATAGAAATATTCTGAGTGGAAATATGTAAGAATCTGTCCTGTATCAAGTTGATAAGAAATTATCTGAAAAGCATATTCTTTGAAATAAGATGAGAATAAGATGAAATAAGCCTGTCATATTTGTAACCYTAAAAGCATTTATGCAAAATATGACAATATTRCACTTAGATACTCTTAACAAGTCTGCCTGGTGCGTGGAATATCCCTTACAGAATTTTCTCCAAATGTCAGAAGGAGAAATTGATAAATTGCTACACACCAAAAAACCTGAAACCACAACTCACCTCCTTCTCTGCATCTTCCAGTTTCTTTTTCTTGCTCTCGGGCATCAAATCATCTAACCAACTGAGCTCCCGYTTGGTGAAAAAGAAATCCATGAGTTTTCGGACAAATACCAAAGCTAGGACCTGCAAAGATATCAATTCACAGAATTAGGAAATGAGGCAGGTAAAACAGATAGATACACCTGTAGAAGAATACTTTCAGAAGTGACCAGTTTGCAGCTAGAATTTTATCCTTTGATTTGAATAAGGCAATAGTTGCTATTCCTCTGTTCAAATGAAATATGGCTTGAAGCATTTAACAATCACTGAGGTCAGTAAATATCTTCTATTTTCTTTTAGTGAAATAATCAGAGAKAAATCACTTAAGCAGCAGAACACTTTTATTTCTATTAAGACATAGAACTGTAAAGCTCTCAGTGCAATGAACACTGTTCCTCAATAAATGAATGTTCTTTTTGTAACAGGATTGAGTACTATTCCTTAAATAAATAGTTTCAAATGAATTTTAGTATTTTTCTCYAAGAGAAGAATTTTTCCTAGGACAATATAAGTTGGGATATCCACACATAGGACTCAAAATAGAGGTTAAATGTCAAATTTTTCCTTACTTAAACATTATGAATTGTCCCTGAACATGGAATCAAAGCAATGTTACAACTACCTGTCCAATTTCTTTATTCTTCAATAACAATTATCCACAAGTGAAAAGGGATTTTTAGAGGAAATAAACAAAAAAAAAAAAATCATACCATCATAGGAAAGACAATAGCAGCTCTTGAAACCTTTATAATCCAGAGAAGGACAAGACAACTCAGCTGAATTATAGTGAAGAGATGGACCTTTCTAAGAGGAACATGCCTTAGATAAATAAAATCAGGCTGATGCTTTGCAGGCATCCAGAATAACTTTATCCTGTCAAAAAGCTGAAAGAGAAAATTTTTAAAGTTTTGATCAAAATGAGGTGTAGGATCATCTGTGTTGGCATTCACACACTGCTTAAGAGATCCTGAATATCCAAAGAATCTGGCTTGCTATTCTAAAGGCAAAAACTACAGAATTTCAGGAGCAAAGAGACTACCTCAGTTACACTCCTGAGCCATTAATCCGTACCAGTCAAACAGTGGCAAAGGACTCGTCTTCTTTCCCGCTGAGCCACCAGGGTAACAATGAGAATCACATTATTTAAGCACAGTTYAATTACTTTGTTAGTCATACTTCAGTTCCTTTTCATTTTAATACACCTGTCTCCCGAGGCTGTATTGCAGATGTACTGAGACATTGAATTGTGCTGARTTCTGTTCTCTGCAGCCATTCTGCAGGAAATACCCAATCCATGCTGCATTGTAACTACACACAAAGMAGGTGGTTACCTTAAAATAATACTGCTCATCATGAACTCTTAACATTGGGCAAAGACAGACTTCAAAGTGGTCATGAATCARTTGAATTTAATTGAATGGCAGCTGTTTGATCCTGCTGGGCATGTGCACCCTCACACTGCTTTCCTAATACGTCCCAAACTCATTTTTCAACAACAGAGCTCTGCCTCCTTTAGCACATGAAAAGCTGCTCATGGAGGGACCTCTTCATTTTTTAATTTCCTGTGAATGAAGAACCTTTTTCTTTTACATCACCGGACACTTTATCTCTGTTTCCTTCTCATATTTCACTTTATTCACAAAACCAGAAACAGAAAAGAAAAAAAAATGGAATTCCAAAAAGCTGACTGCAGTGCTACTGGGAATGTATGTGAGAGGTTCCTATTTTTCAGACCTATTTGGCTCCACACTGACCTGAGACACTGGTGTCATGGCACAGTGATGGTGGTGCTACACCATTTCTCCCTGCATGGATGAACCWTGCTATATTCACACAGCCTTCAGCAATGTCAAGTTTTGGAAGTCTTTAYTGAGCATGTGCAARCTGAATTTTTTTWAAGGCTTATAATTTGGCCAGATTTGAGCAGATTTCTTTTTCACAGAAACAGCAAAAAGCACATCCTCCCACAAAAGCCATCTTATCAAATCTCAATTCCTTATCCCAGAATGGGGGAGGGAGATAAGGAGGGGGATGCTATCACTTTTCCAAGTAAAGATTGCCAGATTTTAGCATGCCTTAAAAACACTCCTCAATAGTGTACTTTCTTATACCCCTGCTCTGAGAAACAGCTGAACCATATTAAATTGAAATTATTTAAACCTCAGTAAAAGCCAAACTACACTTCTGAGAATATCAACCCAAAGCATAAGAGCTAGGCAGCCAAACTATATTTCTTAGAATATCAACCCAAAT